TTTACCCAGAAAAGAAAAGAAAAAAAAAAAAAGAAAAAAAAAAAAGGAAAAGAAGCCATGTCAAGTTGTAATTTATAGCAGAAAGGACAGGTAATTCTTACCATCCAATCAAATTATCAGAAGCTGGAAGGAACAGGGAGAGTTCATCAACTCCATGTCCTTCCAGGCCAGCCAGAGAGATCCTCAAAATATCCCCATCAACAGGCCACCTCTTATTTCACCCTCGGGCAATCTCTAGTTCTTGTCCCAACCAGGATTTATTTATTATATATATAACCGAACCTTTCCGGTTGCAATTTACAGCCTGTTCTCCAGTTCTGACCTCAGGAGAAATGACGAGCAGATGCTCACAGAGCTTTTAATAAAAAGGTTTTCATTAAGTCACTGTTCACCTCGGTCCTGCCATGGGGGAGGCAGGGGAGGTTGTGCCTCTGAGCGCTTTCTTCGTGGCTCTCCTTGGCCTGCATTCCTGACAACAGGCAGCCCCGTGTTTTATCTACCCGAGGATTAAGACCGTAACTTAGATTCAGGTCAGTACGACTGAAATACCTGGGTTTCGTTTTTTTACAAGTTCTCCGAACTAGTGTTGAGTCCTATGAGGTGATTTGGCTTGAACAGAAAACATTTTAAAATTGCAACCACTTTTCCTCTATGGCCACTTAAAAATCAGAAATGTAAACGTTTTGTTAGCCAGCCACTGCTTTCACCGGGTGGGACTGAGCTTGGTGAAGAGCTTGGTTCCTTCATCATTCAGAATTAAGATCAAAGGCTGTTTTTCTCCAGTAGTTTTAATTATTTGCATGACAGGGCCTTCTGAGCGAAATTAATAAGCATTTCCGAAAATTGCACACGGGGCCTAATGGTCTTCCAAAGCAACTTCAAACTGAAGTTCAGGAAGGATGGGTCATTTTTATCTATTGTTCCTTTAGGATGTCTTGTTGGACGTTTGGGTAAAAAAGGGAGTCACCATTTTATAGACGAGAGCCTGATGCAGACCTTGGCCAGGTGGCTCAGTTGGTTAGAATGTCATCTCAATATGCCATGGTTGTGAGTTCGATCCCTAATCAGGACACGTACAAGCATCAACCAATGAATGCACAAATACGTGGAACAACAAATCGCTCTCTCTCTCCTTCTCCTCCTCCCTCCATCCTTCCCGTCCTTCCTTTCTCTTTCTCTCTCTAAAATCAATAGAAAGGAGAAAGCAGAGCCTGGTGTAAAGAAGTTGCCACAGGTGACCCACCTGGGCTGCAGCAGAACCAAAACTTGGTCTCCTCGCCTTCAGCCAAGCTGTTGACACTAGACATCATTCTAAAAAAAACAGACACCTCTTCAACAGGATTTCTCTCGTGAGGATTTTAGGACACGGTGGTTTGTTTTGCTTTCTTTTGCATTCTCTCCATGTTGAGCCTTTCCTAAAATGATATCGCCACAACGATTGCTTACACAACAAACAAAACCCTGTCCCATCTGGGGAAATGATTCCTCCAAATGTCACCAGCCCTCGGCCCTAGAGAAAACGCCTTCTGGTGTTCAGGAACCAGTAACATGCCCGGAACCACACGAGCCCGAAGCCCAGCGGCAAAGCCCTCTTACTCACAGGTGGAGAGGATCATGGCTGCACCTCGGCCCGCAGCGCACACCCCAGCCTGCAGCTCGCCGGCGCTGCTCCCGTCACCAAAACACATCTTTCGACTGAAATCGTAGCTCCGCCAAGATGCTTCTCGTGGGCAAGGTTAACCCCACCTATCTTCCTGTTCTGAAACCTCAGACGCGTGTGAATGGCGGCCGATGGCCTACATGAGAAAGTGCCACAATCTGCACCCAGATCTCCGGGGAGGGCGGCGCCAGCCACCCGCTTCTCATTCCCAACCGTGTGGGCGACGCCAGCAAACAGCACTTGCAAGAAATCACAACATCGGGCAGAAGGGGCCTTAAAAGTCATCAGATCACACTGCCCTCCCCGGACAGGAAAGCAGAGGGGAAGGGACCTGATTAGTGGCAGAAGCAGGATTAGATTGTAAATTTTGGATTACATAGTCTAGAATGTTCTGTCCCCTTAATCGGTATAGACACTGCAGGGACTATTAGAGGAAACCTTTTCTTTTTCTTTTTCTTTTTTTCTTTTTTTTTTGGGGGGGGGGGGAGGGGTGGGGGGGGAAGGGGAGTTGCAACCAATAAAATTATCCCCATGAAAGGTGACTAGACATGGCCGAAAAAATATAAAAACACCGTCACTATAAACAATGCATCCATGGGCTTCACTTCATCCCCTAGGAAAATATATATATAAAAATTAACTGGAACTAGCCGAGAGAGCGTCGGCCTGTGGACTGAAGGGTCCCGGGTTCGATTCCAGTCAAGGGCATGTGCCTTGGTTGAGGGCACATCCCCAGTAGGGGGTGTGCAAGAGGCAGCTGATTGATGTTTCTCTCTCATCGATGTTTCTAACTCTCTATCCCTCTCTCTTCCTCTCTGTAAAAAATCAATAAAATATATTTTTTTAAAAGTTAACTGGAACTAAAGGGAACAGCTCTGATGAAGAGGCAGCACGCTCACCTACTTCCTGCCTCACAGATTGAGATCTCTGCGCATTCTGGGTGGGTTTTTCTATTTTTACTTCACCTCTTGCCCTAGCAATGCTTCTACGTAAAAACTTTTTTTTTTTCTTCACGTTTTAGTGAAACATTGAGAGATTTCTGAAAAACACGCTGCCAGGTATGACTCACCTTGTCCTCCACACCCATGATCTACCGAACAGTCATCGCAAGGGCTGCATTTCTCCGCACTTTCGGCCACGCCATCCGGCGCCCTGAACTCAGCTCCTCGGGGTGAAAAGGGAAGGTTGGCATGGGACTGGGGTGGGGGCAAGGGGAGTCTAGGTGAGGAGGGGAGGAGTGAGAAGTGTGACAGTGAGACTGGGGTATGATTCGAATATGATCCACTCCTTGCATGAGCGACAGCTCCGTTCAAAGGTGTGTGTGTGTGTGTGTGTGTGTGTGTGTGTGTGTGTGTGTGTGAGACGGGGTACATACAGTTAAACAGGAAGATGAGGAGGCAGGTGGCAAACAGACTGTGACAGCACTCAGGAGGGTTGTTTTTGTATTTTTCCATTCTCGGGGGCGGGGATCAGGAAGGACAGGAGACAGCCTGCAGAGGGTGGACTGGCCTGGAGGGAAAGCGATGGTTCCCGGGGTCTCAGGGGAGGTGCTGCCCAGAGCAGCCGTGTGTTCCCACGGGCTCCCAGCACCGGGGACACCGGGCGGTCCACAGGGCGAACGGAAGTCCCGAAGGCCTGTGTCTCCTCTGGCTTCCTCCCCTCATCATGGGAAGAGCATGTGCGGGGCAGCCCCGGCCTCTGCTGTTGATGACGGGGACTGTGTTGCCTTCCCCTGGGCTCTCCCTCTGCAGGCGTCTGAATCAGAGACCATAAGGGTCAGAAACCTACTTAGCCGAAACCAGTTTGGCTCAATGGATAGAGCGTCGGTCTGTGGACTGCACAGAAAATATCAGATCAAACTGCCCTCCCAGGAAGTCCCAGGTTCGATTCTGATCAAGGGCATGTACATTGGTTGCGGGCACATCCCCAGTGGGAGGTGTGCAAGAGGAAGCTGATTGATGATTCTCTCTCATCAATGTTTCTAACTCTCTATCCCTCTCTCTTCCTCTCTGTAAAAAATCAATATATATTTTTTTTTTTTAATTTTTTTTTTTTTTTTTTTTTTTTAAAGAAGAAGGCCTCCTGAAAACCATCACTGACAGCCCAATCCATGATGCTCTGCTGTTTTCCCGGTCTCTCTGCCAGAGCTGGAGCTTGCCCCCCAGTCTTGGCAAGCATCTGTGGTGAAGGTCACCTGTCCTTCTGTTCCAGCCCCGCACCTCCACTCACAGCTTCTGTGTCCTGGACAGAGTCTTAAGCTGTAGAAATGGACTGATTGGCATCAGTTTGATTTTTCACCTAACTCCAATACCCAAGGTGGGGTCCCTTAGCCCAGACGTGTCTACCTAAGTGAGGAGAGGGCATTCATGACAGAAGAGTCCGAGCTTTTTTTCTCTTCAGTAAGAAATCGTTCATCTCCAGGATAAAGGAATTGACAGCTGTACAGCACCATCCCAAGACCTAAGAAGGTTAGCTCATATGTTATAGAATTCAAAGTTTCCATTAAAAAACATCTCGTGCCCTGGCAGGGTGGCTCAATTGGTTGGAGTGTCCTGTGGACCAAAATGATGCGGGTTCAATTCCTGGTCAGGGCATTCCTAGGTTGTGGGTTCAAATCCCTGTCAGGGTGCATACAGGAGGTAACCGATCAGTGTTTCTCACATCGATGTCTCTCTCTTCTTTCTTTCTCTCTCTTCCCCTTCCTCTCTCTCAAAAAATCAGTAAAAACATATTGTTGGGTACAGATTAAAAATAATAATAATAATAATAATAATAAAGACAACGCATGTTTCTTATAAATATATAACTTTATATATTATATATATTCACAATATATACAAGGTACAAACATTTTGTAATGTAATACTAATGGCATGTTTTCAAAACAAAAGATGGGTACATCCAATGTGGTTCCTGATTCCTCCACATCAGACGATGCCCCAGGCCCAGATTGCTGTGGAAGTGAAGGGGAAGAGACGGGTTGCTGATGCCTGGCTCGCACACCGGTGCCCTCCCCAAACTCCACTGGCACCAGCCAGCATGGCCCAGGTGCAGCCCTCAAGTGGGTGACCCTGGGGCCTCGGCATGGCACCCCCGTGGGCACGGAAGCCTGTGGAGTGTCTGAGAGTGCTTTTAACCACCATCTCTGAGGCAGCATCTCCATGACCTGGAAGACTCAGTCATGGGGCTCGGGACGGTCTAAAAGCAGAGGCGTGAGGTGTTTTCAGTTTATCAGTAAAAACAGTCTGCACATTCACGTGCCAAATAAATTAAGAGTGAGCTACAAAGTGCCGTTTCTTCCTGGTGCTGCGGAATCCGGAAGCCATGGTCCCAGCCCCGCTTATCTTCCAAAAGTTTCCTCACACTCCACTAGCTCATCGATGGTGCGCAGCAGGTCTTCAAAGGAAGGCCTCCCCTCAGGTTTCTACGATTAAAAACCAAAGAGAAGCGGTGGGTTCCAGGCTCTATTCCAAAAATGATTTCCCAAACTCATATAACAGAGCGCTCTAGAGCAAGGTACTCGTTGCTTTGGGATTGGAACATGCAGGCACCTCCAAAAGGGTCTGATCCAGCCTGCATGTACTGCCGCTGGCCTGTGTTCTGCTTCTGTTTTTGTGCCCCCACTCAAGAACCGACTGCAAAATCAAGTCCTGCTAATCAGCAGCACTCTCTATAACCTGCCCACCCCCACCTCCTTGGGACCCAATTACATTTCCCAGAAAAAATGCTCACATGGCCTCTCTGCTCAGTCAAACCAATCTCCACCCTCGAGTCCACACACCAGGGTCATTACCATGTCCTTGCCTTTGCTCATGCTGTCCTCTCTCCCCCTGACCACTCCCTGGCCAGAGCCTCTGCCCATCCTAGTCAATGCGCTTAGGAGGCTTATTGCAAATGACTGGGAGCTTTGGAGTCAGAGGGGACTCAGGACCTCTGTAGCCAGGTGGCCTCATCAGCTTCATGGGTCTTGGTGTTCTCATCCAGAGTCATCACAGCACCTCCAAGGGCTATCTTTGAAAACTAAATCTGAAGCATTTAGTACAGGGTCTAGCATATGATACATGTGAGTTGATGTTATTATCCTTAATAATTGCCATTTTTCAAAAGTCATTTTGGTCTTTAATCTCATCTATAAGATGACATTTCAATGCAGTTGGAAGGTAAACTTCCAAAGAATGTGAGTAAAAAGACCTGAGAAAGTTGAGGGCTGGAGTAAGGAACCCTCACTGGTGAAAGAGTGATATTTCAACCGTAAGAGACTCCCACTGAGAGAAGAGCCCCTTCCGCAGGCTGTTTCCTGGGTCCCTAACTCAGGCCCCTGTGGCAGGGTCCCCACTCGGTCATGGGGCAGCCTGAATTCATCATCTTAATTATTAGCATTTTCCCCTTCTCCCAATTCTTCTTCTCCTTATTCAGAACTGAGTCCAGAGACTTGGCTTCCTACCTAAGGTTCAAACCACGTAAAACATGCACCAACCCACAACTCACTGAACCATAAAGACTATACAGTATTCATCTATCAAGCCCAGATCCACCAATGGTCTAAAGATTCCAAAATTAAAAGCACACAAAAAAAATTCCATACCTCCTGCCAACATCTCAGCATCACGTCGTAGACATATTTGGACGCCAGCTTGGGCCGGTGGAGGCGGTGGCCGCGAGTGACCATGGTTACCACCTCATAGTTGGTGTTCTTCTCGAAGGGCATCCTGCCCTCAGTGAAGACTTCCCACATGAGGACACCTGGAAGGGGCACGGGTTACCACGAATGCACCACTTCCCCTTCAGAGCGGGGCGGAGGGAAAACGGGCCGCGGGTCTTACCGAAGGACCAGACATCCGATTTGCTGCTGAAGCGGCTGTAATTGAACACCTCGGGCGGACACCACTTCACAGGAAACTTAGCACCAGAAGAACTTGTGTACTGATCGTCCAGAACGTACCTAGAGCGAGAAAGACACAGCATCGGTTTACACCTCTGAGTTCTGATCTGCATCTTGTACGATGTTCTTGCTTTCCACCACCCTCTCCCTCCCTCAGAATAAAAAATAAAAAACACAGTTGGCTGAAGTCCAACAAGCATCCGGTTGAAGCCGAATGCTTGCTTTGGTGGCCATGCCTGGTGATTTCCATCTCAGCTTTATTTACTTGAAATGGATGGACGGTGACGTTAGTATCTGTGCTTTCACTTTTGTCTTCTCTTTTTTATAAGCAACAGAGGCAGAATACAATAAAAAGAGCTCGCAAACGTTTCTTTGTGAGCAGTTTTGGTACAGAGTTTTACCCGAAGGCCCCGCTTGTAAAACATCTGAAGCAAAGCTGTGCGAAAGGAAGTGGTGAAAGGCACTTGGAGACATACGTGGTTTTAGCCCCCACAATTCCACAGAGCGCAACTTAAAACTACAGCGAATTAAAAAAAGCAAATTGCAAAATGACATGTGTAAATGGTGGAGTATATATTCATAAACCAATGACATTGTTCCTACACACACACACACACACACACAACAACAACAACAACAACAACAAACTATTATATACTTTTTCTATGGGCGCATACTTCTATCTTTCTAGGACAGGTGTCGGCAACCTACGGCTCCAGAGCCGCATGTGGCTTTTTTGAAGCTTTACTGCGGCTCCAACAACTTGCAAGCCTGTGTGAAAAGAAGGTAACGTCTTACAGCCCTGATGTGCTGACACTGTGCACTGAGGTTCAGGAGCAAAAATCCCATTAACCAGGTAAATTAAATATTTTAATTAGCTATTAATTTGCAAAAATATATTTTACATTGTTAAGTGGAAAAGTCCTTTTTTTCTTCAGATTGACAGCTAACTGCATGATCCGGTATATAGCATTAAGGTAAGAAACAATATATGCAGTGTTATATTTGTTTTAAATGTCGCAATGGTTTTGCGGCTCCCAGGTTTTTTTTTTTTCCTTCGGAAACGGGTCCAAGTGGCTCTTTATGTCTTAAAGGTTGCAGACCCCTGTTCTAGGAGAACACTATGACTTGGGAGAATCCTTGATTGGCATGGTACACATGGCAACTTCAGCCCTTTCTGTCACGTGTTCAATATGTATTTACAAGAGGAATGTGTTTGTGTGTTACATAAACATAGAAAGTTAATTTCTAAAAGCTCCTTGTTCCTGGAGGAAATATTCAAACCATCGCACTGGCCTCCTTTGCTGTATAGACAGAGATGGTGACGATGCCACCAGGGGCTGGATCAACCTGTCTGTCCATAGGAGGAGACTGAATTTGTGTATAATGAGTGTGTTAGAGGGGCTGACACAAAAGCACACATTTTCTGAAAGCCAACCACATGAAAATAGAACATGAAGGCCTGCCTGTCAGATACAAAACATCTTTGTACAAAGCAAACCAAGAGCAGTGGGTAACTAACCCCCTGACTGACAGCAGTCCCGATCCCATTGTGGACAGTGACACAGCTTTCTTTCTTAATTAATTATATTTTATTGATTTTTTTACAGAGAGGAAGAGAGAGGGATAGAGAGCTAGAAACATCGATGAGAGAGAAATATCGATCAACTGCCTCCTGCACACCCCCTACTGGGGATGTGTCTGCAACCAAGGTACATGCCCTTGACCGGAATCGAACCTGGAACCTTTTAGTCCGTAGACCGGCGCTCTATCCACTGAGCCAAACCGGTTTCGGCAGTATCAGAGCTTTCTAACCTCCCAGGTTCCGAGTCTCCTTAGGAGCTGACCTTGACTTATATGCCTGTTCCTGCGTCCCTTTATTGTTGTTCTTTGCGCTGGCCATGGGCGAGCCACCCTGGCTCTTTCAATTCCTTGGCCAAGCTTGTCCCAGATTCCAAACTTTTAAAAAAATATATGTGTTCTTTTCTTTTTTCCCATCATCATCCCCCCGATCCTCTCCTCCATCTCCACCAGCTTTCAAACTTTTATACTTGCTGTTTCTCCACCTGGAATGTTTTACCCTCAGGTTTTTACCAAACTGGCTACTTTCTGCCTTTTTTGGTTTCATTTAAATATCTGGGTCTCAAAGAGGCCTTCCGGAGTGCCATCACCCCTCCCGTACTTCATCACCCAGCACCTGCCCCACCCCCAACACCAAGCTTTCTCCATCACAGGGGCCAGCAAACTTTTTCCGCAAAGGGCCAGATAATGAGTATTTCCGATTTTGCAGGCCGGTTTCTGTCACAACCACTCCACTCTGCCTTTGTGCTGTGAGAGCAGCCACAGTCAACACAAAAACACAAGCAAGGCTGTGACCCAGTCACGCTTTATTTATGGACACTGACACCGAATGCCAGAAAACTTTCACATGTGTATTCCTCTAGTTCTTTCCCAACCATTTAAAAACGTGCAGCCCTAGCTGGTCTGGCTCAGTGGACAGAGTGCTGGCCTGTGGCCTAAAGGGCCCCAGGTTCAATTCCAGCCAAGAGCACATGCCTGGATTGCAGACTCAATCCCTCCCCACCCCCTACTAAGGTGTGTGCAGGAGGCAGCCAATCAATAATTCTCTCTCATCGCTGATGCTTCTATCTCTCTCTCTCTCCCTTCCTCTCTGAAATTAACCTATATATATATTAAAAATAAATAAGATAAAAATGTGAAAATTGTTGTCATACAGAAAGGTCATACAGAAAGAGGGGGGTCAGATTTGGCCCAGGGGACGTAGTCCGCTGAACCCCTGCTCCATCACATCACTCCGTCCTCTATGTTTGCCCCCTCTGTGTGTCTCAGGTCCTATGTCTCACCTTCCTCTTGAATATAAACTGCATGTGGGTGGGGACTCGTATGTCTTCCTCTCTGCTATGGTTCAGTCTAACACTGTGCCTGAAACATAGGAGGCACCTAATCTCTTAATGATGGATACATGGATGAATGAATGCACAGAGAGGAAGGACAAACTATAGAAGGACAAATTAAAATTTCAAAAATTAAGCAAATACCAACCGAACAGATTTGGGTATTCTAAGAACTTTACCGCAAAACAGATTTCTGTGAAAACGAAAGATTCTAAAAATCTAATCCACACCAGGGAGAAAAGAAAGTAGTGTATTTAACAGGCGATACCACCACCTAGTGGGGAGGATTAACAATAATTAACAAAAATGTACCCACATTTTAACGACTATATGTGTCTCAAAAGAGCCAGCTAATAAGCTTGCCTTTCTGCTTCATTAGTGCAGATTATCCCCATGCTTATTCATTCTACATGCCAATATGAACATCATATAATAAAGCATTAAGCAATCATAATTTCTCAACAATTTGTTTACCTGAGGAAAAGCCACAGCTAACAGGAATGGACACGCTCAGCAAAGAGATCTTCCAAAGGCAAGTAATTTATTTTATTAGCTTATATAATAAATACTAATAAATGGGAAAATCAATTAGTTCCTCTATAAAAAATGAAGGGCACTACCAATATTTTTGCTAAATGTAACAAAACATGTGGTTTCAGACAGCGCTTTCGAAGGCTTCCGAGGAAGAAGCTGACAGTCAAACTGCAAGAAAAAGTCAGGCTTTCTGTACTTTCAAGGGAAAGGTCTCAGTTTCACATTAATTTAATCCAAAAGCTATAATAAAAATGGTCCCATATACGCAGACTTACCTGGCCATTCCAAAATCAGATACTTTCACAACTCCTGCCTCATTTACTAGACAATTTCTGGCAGCCTGGGAAACAACATTAGAATGGCATGTCAGTTACAAAGTTCTACAATAACAGTGGGAAAATATAAGTTCTGTTTATATTAAGTTTAGGATGGCCCAGTCAGCATCTGCAGAGGGTGGAAATGTCTCCAACATACAGTTGATCCTTGAACAACATGAGTTTGAACTATATGGATCCAGTTACACATGAATTTTTTTCAATAAATACATACAGTCCTGTAAATGTATTTTATTTTCCTTATGTTCTATAATAATAAAAGCATAATATGCTAAGTAGACCAGACATCCTTCCAGACAACTTCCGGACAAAGCCGGAGCTACGAGGAAGCCCTGGGTCCCGGGTGCCAGAGGGAAGCCGGTGCTGGCAACCAGGGGAAGGAAGGCCTACTCTTACACAAATTTTGTGCATTGGGCTTCTAGTTTTCTTAATAAAATTTTTTTACTAATTTATTTTATTATAAGAACACAGTAAATAATACATATAAGATATGTTTTAATGGGTGGTATGTTATTGGTAAGGTTTCTGGCCAGCAGTAGGCTATTAGCAGTTAAGATTTGAGGGAGTCAAAAGTTATACACAGATTTTTAACTGTGTGGGAGTGGGATTCCCCTAACCACAGGAGGCAACCAATCAGTGTTTTGTTCACACATCAATGCTTCACTCACTCTCCCACCCCTCTTCCTCTCTGTCTAAAATCAGGAAGGGAGAAGTCAAATTGTCACTATTTGCTAACAATATGATCTTACATATAGACAATCCAAAGTCAATAAAAAAAAAAAACTGTTGGAATTAACCAGTAAAGTGGCAAGTTACAAAATCAACTTATAGAAACCAGTGGCATTCTTTTACACTAATGATGAAGCATCAGGAAAAAAAAACAAACCTATTCTCATTCACAATATCATAAAAGCCAATACAATACTTTAGGAATAAATTTAACCGAGGAAGTGTAAGATCTGTACAATGAAAACACATGATTTTGCTGAAAGAAATAAAAGACACAAACAAGTGGAAAGACATCCCAAATTCATGGATTGAAAGAATAAATATTATTGAAATGGTTATACCATCCAAAGCCCTTTACAAATTCAACACAATTCCCATCAAAAGGTATTCCTCATAGAAATAGAAAAAACAATCCTAAAACTTGTGTGGAACCACAAAAGACCCTGCAGAGCCAAAGCTAAAAAGAACATAGCCAGAGGTATCACCCTTCCTGATTTTAACCTATACTACAAAGCCACAGTAATAAAAACAGTATAGTACTGCCATAAAATAGACCATGGAACAGATCAGAGAACCTAGAATTAAATCCTGGCATTTACAGTTAACTGATATGGCACAAGGGAGCCAAGAATACCCAACTAGGGATGAATAGTCTCTTCAACAAATGGTGCCAGGAAAACTAGAGAAACACACAAACAACAGTGACATTGAACCTCTATCTCACACAACTCACAAAAATTAGCTCTAAATGGATCAGAGTTAAACATGAGACCTGACAACATAAAACTCCTAGAAGACAACCTGGGGAAGAAAAATAATATTGGTCTTGGCAATTTTTTTTTTTTCATAACACAAAAATACAAACAACAAAAGCAAAAATCAGCAAATGGGACTATATCAAACTCAAGAGCTTTTGGATGGCAAAAGTAATAATCAACAAAATGAAATAACAGCCTACATAATGAGAAAAAATGTTTGCAAACCACATATTGGATTAGGGGTTAATAAAAAAAATTTAAAAAATGGGCAGAAGAAATAGATATTTTTCCAAAGACATCAAAATGGCCAACAGGAACATGAAAAGATATTCAACATCTATCTATCATCAGAGAAATGCAATTCATAACCACAATGAGATGTCTCTTTACACCTGACAGAATGCCTATCATCAAGAAGACAAGAGACAACAAGTGCAGGCAAAGATAAGGTGAAATGGGAACCCTTGTGCATGTAAATTAATGGATGTAAATGAGTCCAACCACTATGAAAACAAAAAGTTAAAAAGAGACTACCATATGACCTAGCAATTTCACTTCTGGCTGAATACTCAAAGGAAAGGAAAACAAGATTTTGATGAGATACATGAACACCCATGTTTATTGCAGCATTATTCACAATAGCCAAGATCTGGAAACAACCCTAAGGCTCATCAATGAATGAGTAGATTTTTAAAAAGATGCAGTATATTATATACACAATGAATATTATTCAGCCTATGAGAAAGAAAGATATTCTGGCATTTGTGACAATATGTGTGGACAGGTACCTTGGATATCACTTAAAAGTGAAATCTAAAAAAAGTCAAAACTGAAAAAAAAAAAAAGTTAGAATAAAATTGTGGTTTTAGGGGAACTAGTGGTTCTACCAATAGACACATTTTGGAAAATAAGCAGAGAAGAAAAAGAGAAAGAAAACAATGAGACAGAAGGGGCAAATGAGTAAGAGAAAGTAAAAATAAAGAAGTGTCTCCATCACAATCATTTATAACCAATAATAAAAGATTTACTTTTTCTGGTATTTTTAGGAATTAACATGGGTTCCATCTTTTGAGAGATTAAAAAAATAATAATAAACCAAGGATTTCTGTTATATCCTTTCTGCTGGTAGTGTTTAAGGTAGAAAACAGCTTAGCATTTAGTTAAAACATGAGTCAAGCTTAACTTCCTAATTTACCACCATTTGCAAGTCCTTTTGTGTCTCTAAAGTTAATTTTCTTATCTATAAAAGAATAATGGTCAGAAACACTCTCACGATTAGCTATTTTCATGAGATTCTTATGGAGATCAAAGAATCTATGCATGGTAACTTGCTGGGACATATTACCTTTGTCATTATATATTATTTATACAACTGCCTATGTAATTATCTATACAGGTAAAAGCCCAGCAACTGGAACAGTGTAATGACCAGAACGACTGGCTGCTATGACATGCACTGTGGTGGCCAACGGGCCCCATCTGGGTCCCAATCAGCCCCCACAACCTCCTGCTGCCCCACCCCCCAGCCAGCCCCGCCCCCAATAGGGGGCAGAGCCAGTTGACTAACTGCCCATGGCCCCTCCCCTCAAGCCGCCCCCCCAACTCTAATCAGGGGTGGGGCTGGCCAGCCAACCTCCCACATCCCCTCCCTCATCCCAGCCCCACCCATGCACGAATTCATGCACCAGGCCTCTAGTGTATTACACAGATTTTTAAAAGATCTTTCTGTTAAAATTATGGCACATTAAACTTACCAAGTTTAGAAATAATAGTTTAATATTGCTGACAATAAAAATTGGATATTAACAGATTATTGCTCATTGGCAGACCCCGCATTACAAAGGAATTTGGACAATGAAAAGGAATCGGGTAGTTCATAATTTACCAGATCTCTGTGGATGAAGCTGTTTCGCTCCAGGTACTCCATCCCTTCACACACATCTTGGCACATGCTCAGCAGCACATCTCTACTGAAATGTCCTTGCCTCTGCCGGAGGAAGTTCAGCAGGCAGCCCCTCTCCATGAACTCGGTAACGATGTAAATCGGCTTCTGCTGGGTGCACACGCCATAGAGCTGCACTAACTTCGGGTGTGTCAGTTTCCTGGGAGGGGAGTCAGGCACACACCCCGTTACTACAGGAAAAGGAACCATCGGGGCTCAGACTGGGGGGGAGGGGGGGAACGGACACATGACGACACTGTTTAGTGCAAAAAGGGGAACCGGAAAGAACACAGAAACTTACATCATCACTTTAGCTTCTTCTATAAAATCTTCCTCGCACATCGCGCCTTCCCGAATAGCTTTGATCGCCACTTTGTACTGAGCTCGCCACTTGCCGAGCCTCACCACTCCAAACAGTCCACTCCCCAGTTCCCTCATAAAGGTCAGCTCTGAAGGGTTGATCTCCCATTTCTCTGTAAGACAGATGGGGAAAGTGATAAAATCTCATAAAGAGAACAAAGCACACATCAGTGGGAAATAAAGAATTATAACTCATGTCCATCTCATAGTCATAGGGTGGAGGTCAGTGTATTACCAATGATTGGTAAAAAAAAAAAAAAAAAAGAGTAAACTTGCAGAAACCTGTTTGGCTCAGTGGATAGAGCGTCTGCCTGCAGAGTGAAAGGTCCCAGGTTCGATTCTGGTCAAGGGCATGTACCTTAGTTGCGGGCGCATTCCCAGTCGGGGGTGTGCGAGAGGCAGCTGATCGATGATTCTCTCTCATAGATGTTTCTAACTCTCTATCCCTCGCTCTTTCTCTCTGTAAAAAATCAATAAAATATATTATTTAAAAAAAAAAAAAAAAGAGTAAACTTGCAGCCTGCATTGAAACTGCACATGTGTCATGGACATGGACAACAGTGTGGTGACTGTCGGGGGGTGGGACGGAGGTAGAGGAGAGGAGAGGAGGACATATGGTGATGGACAGAGACTTGCCTCGGAGTGTGAGCATACAGTGTGCAGATGACATGTTGTGTAATTGTGCACCTGAAACTTGCACCATTTTGTTAACCAGTGTCCCCCCAATAGAAAAAAAAATTTTTTTTTAACTGCAAATGGTGGCTCTCCACTCTCTGATGAAGGTGTACCTCTTTCTAAGTTGTCACAATACAAGCAAAGTGAGCTGATCAAGGCAAGAAGATGCTGCATAATAGGCTAATAACAACAGAGCTTGAAAGTTAAACCTTAAAAACAATTCCTCCTTTACCACTCTTTCCCCTCATATTTTTTTGTTGCTGTTTGATTTTGTTTTGTTTCCAATTCCAGCAATTCCTGCTATTTAAAAGTTTTATGCCGGAAGCAACAGAGACAAGTGGAATGCCTTCTCTATGATCACCATCCTTCCTTTTCTGGGAGTAACCAAAAAAGCCAATGAGGACCAGGAAAGGCTCTGATTCGTTTTAGGTGTAAGATGGTAACTAATGCCTATTTTCCATTGACAGAGAGTTTTCTGTCGAAGGATGTCTATGATGAAAACAGAAAACAGAGGGTAACTACAGCTGTTAAGTATACTAGTAATCATCTAAAAACCCAGACTACAAAACTTATCAAAACAGCTCCGCTGTGTGGAATGCCACTCATCTGAAAGGCCTTGCGGTGATGGCTTCTTTTCAGGGAAACCTGGCAGGGCAAGAACCAACGCGAGTTACCGTAGCTGAATCCTGCAGTGGTGGGCGCCTTCTTCTCCTTTGCACTGACAGGGTACCGCAGCCTTGTGACAAGCCCTAGAAATCAAAGAAAGTATTGCCGTCAGATTCATTCATAATCAACCTGCAAGGCCAAGTGGGAAGCTAAAATCCATAAAATCCATTCATGTAGTCACCCAGTGCTCATCCTCTGTGTGTGCATACAGCTCTGTGCCATATCCTGGCAAAAAATAACAAGATGAAGGCAAGAAGGAAGAGGATGAGCCTACTGTCTGAGCTGACAATTTCATATTTTTATGTAGCAGGAAAAACTTGAATATATATGTATATTCACACTTTTATCAATTCAATAAACATTTTTTAAAATACTACAGTGCTTATCAATATGCAATCTGTACTATGAAAGGGAACTACAATATTTAATAATAATTGATTCTCTGGCCCGGTTGCTGTGGCTCAGTGGATTGAGAGTTGTCCCATGGACCAGGAGGTCCTGGGTTCAATTCCTGGTTAGGGCATATGACCAGGTTGCATGCTCAATCCCCAGTAGGTGGTGTGCAGGAGGCAGCCAATCAATGTGTCTCTCTCATCAATGTTTCCATCTCTCTCTCCCTCTCCCTTCCTCTCTGAAATCAATAAAAACAAAATATTTTTTAAAAATAGATTACCCAGACATAATATTAGGAATCTTAACATAAAAAAAAATCAGGCTCTAAAATATCAACAACTGGTAATACCAACTACTGGAAATCAATGAGGAACATTAAATCTTTTCATCTAAATTGCTAAAACACCAAATAAGAAGAAATGGCAGATATCTCTCCTATAAACACCCATTATACACTGTATTTCCTCTATTACAGCATAGCTCATACTAACTTAATATCATTATATACTTCTCTGCCTCCCATACCAAGTGGTAAGATCTGAGAGAGAAAGAAAATCTGGGAGAGACAGAATCAATGACTACCTAATCCACCATAGTCTCCCTAGAACCTAGCACATTTCCCAGCATGCACTAGACAATACATGTTCATTAAATGAATGGAGATAATGGTGAAAGAAATAGTGTTATACAAACACTGATAATAACATAATATAGCCTTAAAAAAAAGTCCTTTGTGGAATATATTGATAGGAAATGTTCAACATTGAGTTACCAAATGCTCAACATTGAGTTACCAAATGACCCAGAAAATTCCATTTTACCAAAGGAAAATGGAAGATATTTCCATGCCAAGACTTGTATACAAATATCCATTGCAACATTATTCATAATAGCCAAGATATGGAAACAACCCAAATGTCTATCAACCGATGATTGATAACAAAATGGATAAACAAAGACCATACAACGATGTATTACTCGTCAATAAAGAGGAATCGAGTACTTATATAAACTACATCATAAACTAACATCAAAAACATTATGGTAAGTCAAAAAAGGTAGTCACAATTGAGCACACATTGTATGATCCCATTTATTATATATAAAATATTTAGAAAAGGCAAATTTGCAGAGACACAAAGATCAGTGGCCGCCCAGGGCTGGACTGTCGAAAGGATACAAGACTTCTTTTGGGGTAATAGAAGTTTTTGTAGATTATGGTGAGAGTTGGCACAACTCTGTAAATATTTTAATGACACTGGATTGTACACAACTCTGTAAATATATCAATGACCACTGAATCTCAATAACTGTTCCAATCAGCGGCCAGGCCCGGAGCAGCCGGGTCGGATGCGGCCAGGTCCGGAGCAGCCGGGTCGGGTGCGGCCAGGCCCGGAGCAGCGGCTGCCAGGCTGGGAGCAGCCAGGCCCGGAGCAGCAGGGTCGGGTGCGGCCAGGCCCGGAGCAGCGGCTGCCAGGCTGGGAGCGGCCAGGCCCGGAGCAGCAGCAGCCAAGTCCAGACCAACTAGGTCGGGAGCAGCAGTGACCAGACCCGGAGCAGCTGGTTGTGGAATGAACCAGAGCAACAGAGGCCAGGCCCTGAGCAGCCAGGCCCGGAACAGCTCGCTCCTCGCCTGCCCCTGCCCCACGGCTGCCTCTCAGACATGGCTGGAAACTTTCACGGGAACTTGAGGGTCTGCTGAATCAAGTGATGAAGGCTTAGATCTGGATGTGTGGAGTTAGTATAGGGCTGGGGTGTTGATCTGTGAGTGCCTTGGGTGGGGCCTGGATGAGGCTGGTGGACCTATTGGGAAATGTCTTTTGTGTGAAGTGTATCATTGGGCATGTGGAGGTATTATTGATATGAGAAAATGCTAAGTAACTGATTTACTATCTGAAAAGGGATTTACTATCGGGGAAAGGGAGGGAAGAAGAGACTGAACATAAACTGTGCACCTATGGATGAGGACAATGGGGGATGGGGAGGGGTCGGAGGGAGGGGTGGGAACCTGGTGGAGGGGTGAAGAAATGAGGAACCCTTGTAATAATATGAACAATAAAGATTGATTAAAAAAAAAATAACTGTTCCAATCATTATCTGAGAAAAGTGAACAGAGTCACAAGTAGAAACAGACTTTGTAAAAGGTGACTTCAATAAAATTTCACAAGTTACTTTTTCATAAATTGGGTTAGACACTTGGCTATCCCCTGCTCGTCATATCTTTGAAGTCAAAGGCTAGACATGTTTCCTCTCTTACCCTGTGGAGCCTCAATGGGCATAAATGTGGCTCATGGTGTTTGGTTAGTTCCCACTCTGCATGGTGAGGGTAGCAGAGATCCAGGAAGATGGAAACTCTGTCTGGGACATGATTACTCTTGTCTTTGGAAGCCTCTAGCCCAGGCCTAAACCCTGAGCTTCTGTCTGGAAGCTTCTGTGACAGTTCTGACATATACATATCTCGGATTTTATTGAAAAAAAGAAAAAAATCTAATGACACTTTGAAAGATGGCAGGCTTCACTCAGGACCATTGTGATAGGGTCAGAGACCACTGCAATGGGATTTTAGAGTCAGGGAGACAGACTGAAATCAACCCCAAATACAACATGGGCAAGTGGGAATATATATCCAGGAACGGGATGGAGGTCAGTGGATGGAAAATCACTAAGAGAAACATCAGAGGTATGGGAAGTGGGCAGTTCTGGCTAAACCAATCTAACAGAGTCTGTGGACGATGAGGAAGTTGCTCAGATACTGAGGGTGATCAGACATCAGATATCGAGGGTAGGGGGTTCTGGTTCAGCTGACTTAGCAGACCTCCAGCTAAAACTGGATTTTACAAAAAGCGCATGGCCTAGAACAGCAGTTGCCAACCAGTGGTCAGTGAACTGCTGGTAGCCCATGAGGTCCGAAAGGCTGGCGACCACTGGCCTAGGCGAAAGTTCAGAAGTCTGACTACAGTCTGGTCAAGCAAAAAAATCTTTGTCAGTACCAAGGATGTAAACCCCAGAAACGTGACATTTAACATACACAATAAAAATAGCTCATGCCCTAAGGTCCAGATTGAGCGTTTTATGAGATTTGATATTATTTCTGATTTTTTCTTTGTATATAGCACTTTTTAAAAATATATTTTATTGATTTTTTACAGAGAGGAAGAGAGAGGGATAGAGAGTTAGAAACATCGATGAGAGAGAATCATGGATCAGCTGCCTCTTGCACACCCTACTGGGGATGTGCCCACAACCAAGGTATTATACATGCCCTTGACCAGAATTGAACCCGGGACCTTTCAGTCCGCAGGCCGATGCTCTATCCACTAAACCAAACCGGTTTCGGTGTATAGCACTTTCTTAATATGCAATAATTTTAAGTCAATCAATCACATTCTACAAGTAATTACAAAATACAACTGCTCAGGGAAAGAATTCATATAAATTCTGATCATTTTAACCTCTCCCTCTATTGAAATGGGCTCTAACAGCTCACCTACCTGCTGCATTGTGCCTATGATATTCAATTATCTCAGGAATGGAACCAAATGCGTGTTTTTCAGCCAGATAATACTTCTTGGGGGAGGTTGTTGTTTCCTTTATATGATAATGCCTGAAACCTGACGAGCCTTCTCTACAACAAAAATCAAAATGTGTTAGAACCAAGTTGGAAGAATGTAACTTCACTCTGAAGACATGTTCTGCCAGGTCACCACAGGGTCCCTACAAATGGCCTCTCCTACTTGCTGCACACATTTTGTTCCTCCCCATGCCCACCTTAGCTTTGCTTTTCACATGTAAAGGCAGAGTCTTTACAGCGGTCACTGATAACATTATTGGCCCCTTGCCCGAGATTGTAACAGAGAGCATTTACCAACTTCGTTCACCAGCAGTTAAAGTCTTAACAATAGCTATTAGCTGGCTACCTCTGTCTGTCTCTGTTGTTGGAGTAAAATTGCAAATATTTAGAGGACTTACATCCATTTAAAAGTGAATAAACTAGACCCGTAAAAAATGTACAAAGTTCTATTTTAGATATCTTTCTAGAACACAGAGATTCTGGAGTCATCTCTTGCTAATAATATTACAAAGATAACTCCCACTGCCCTTAAGATAAAGCTCAGAGCCAGATGATGTGGTCCACTGGTGGAGCTTCCACCTATGAACCAGGAAATCACAGTTCAATTCCCCATAAGGGCCCAGGCCCAGGAAGCAGGCTTCATCCCCTGCAGGAGGCACGCAAAGGCGGCCAATCAATGACTCTTTCTCATCATTGATGTTTCCATCTCTCTCTCCCTCTTCTTTCTTCTCTGAAATCAATAAAAATATAATTTTTTAAAAAATATATAAAACTCAGACTCCTGGACATTGACATGACCTATCCTCCACGTTTATTTCTCAGGTTCTCTCTCCTCTCTTCATCCTGTCTCCCTCATTCTACAATCCAGCTGCAACACACTTGTCAGTTCCTGGTACTCATTCTATCTCCCCCCCCCCCCCCGCCCCCTGCTTCTGGGCCCAGGCAGTTTCCTGGGTCTGAAACATTCTTTTCCACTCCCTCCAATTTTTGCCCACCTCACCTGTCATGTCTGTTTGAATGTCACTAGACAACATTAACAACTAACTCAGAGGTGTTGGGCTATGTACCCCATTTTCCCCATCCTACCCCAGCACACAAGCATTGCCTTCCTAGCATAGCACTTATTCATATACTATCCTGACTGTTTCCTTTTCTGAAGCAAATTTGCTCACTGTGGTATATGTAGTGCTTAACACAGTGCTCAGTAATTACTTGTTTAATATTGCTAACATTTTTATAGCCATTCTCAACATATATATATATATATAACTATGAAGCAAATTATTGAAATACCAATTAAAAATTTTTAAAGTACAGACTTTAAAAATCAAGTTCAGATTTTCTTTTTAATGTTAAAAATTAGGAATCCATACGAACTATAGAGGAACTTCATACCAAAACTATAAATTTAAAAGAGAGAGAAAGAGTAGGGTTACTTACCCTCCAAACTTTGTATAAAGGGAGACTGTGTACATGCCCGGTTGACTGGAATCCCTTACCATAAAACCGCCTTCTTTATCCTGAAATGCAAGTGAAGAGAATTGTTTCAGTTCAGTAACACATACCAGTGCCATAGAGAAGAGTCAAGAACCCAATCTTGAACAATTATTAGCTTTTATCTAGAAAATCTGCTTTGGAGAAGCACAGCTTCCAGGAGGTTTCCTCCATATGACTTCCTGCGAGATTAGAGAAAGCACACTCACAATTCCCCATCCACAATCACACACTCAGGATGAGAAGTTTCAAAAGGATCCTCCCTCGGGGCCCTTTCAGAGCTAGCAGACAAGATTCTGCGACTCCTTCAAGACTTGGACACAAGGGTCGGGACAAGTTACTAAAAAATGTATTTCTTAATGATTGGGTTTCATTTCATACATCTTTAATATCTGCTAAAGGTCTGATCCTGACCCAATATCCTCTTCTATCCAAACATCATTTTTTTTCCCTGTAAATATCTCAGTGCTCTTTACAAACATGTGTTAAAAAATCCTGAGTTCCCCTGGAAATCGGTGTTAAATATCATTCTTTACAAAAGGAGAGATGGAGGCACAAGTGACGTAAGCAGAGAAATCCAAAAGGCAGAAGCGATAATAAGTGACTCAAGGATAAATCCTCATAGGTTCCAAGCCAAAGAGCAAGAGAGACAATGGAGTTAAATAAAACTCCACAAATAAATCTGATAAGAACAATTAGGGACAATGGTATAACATTTCTTTGGTAAACAGAATAGTAGCTACCATATATTTACTAAGAATTTACTCTAATTTAATATGTTTTAATCTGTGGATTTACTTAATCCTCAAAACAGTCCAATGAGTAGGTACTAATGCTACCGTGTTTTCCCCGAAAATAAGACATCCTCCGAAAGTAAGACCTAGCGCATGGAAAGATAAGACATCCCCTGAAAATAAGACCTAGGGCAACTTTGGGAGAAAAAATTAATATAAGACACTGTCTTATTTTTGGGGAAACAGGGTATCCCTGCTTTACTTCACAAGTAGGGAAATGGGCACAGAAAGGTTGGATAATTTGCTCTAGGTCACATAGCTAATAAGTAGCAGACCCAAGATTTGAACCACAGGTCTTCAAGCTACGCACTCCCCTAGAGTTGCATGTAAGAATCCTGCAAGGAAGTCACGTGGTTAGGTGTCATTTGAGTCAAGCAAAGTCATCTGCTATTGCTCTCTCAACATAAACTACAGAAACAATTGCCCAACAAAACCTTGACTGGTGGGGAGAAGCAATAGATAAGATGAGAAAGCATGAGTTCAAAAGACTGGAAATCATTCGTGAATGGAATAGCTAGATACAAAATGCAGAGAACTATACAGGTCACCTCCTAATCCAACTCCTCACCTCACAAATGAGAAATGGGCTAGAAAAGTCACCGTTAGACTTGAGTCATCTTACTTAGCCCATTATAGTTCCCTCGATACTACATGTTATCATTTCATGTTAACCCTTTTTAAAGTGTAAGAATTTCAGCACATTTATCTCCAAAGGCAACTAAGTACTTTATAAAAAGCTAATTTCTAAAAGCTATCATGTACTTGTCACTAAGGGAAATGTGGGTCTCTGACTCCATCTTGTCCAAGGCTGTCTGTTCCTTTGGCCTCAGGCGAGTAGCTCTGCTTTGTTGCATATGGACATGCAAATCACTAGAAGAATTCTGCTAGCCCCTGAGTTTTACCAAAAACAGACCCTCCCATTTCCCTTTCCCTTGACATAAAAGAAGCCTGAACTCTCTACTTTCTTAGGATGAATTTGAGGGTTGGTCTCCCATCTTCTCGGTTGGCATTTTTGGATCAATAAAGCTTTCCTTACTCCAAAGTCTGAGGTTTTGAGTTTTGGCCTTTCAAAGTATCAGGCACACAGTCTTTGGGCTGCTAAAATACTATTGATATTAATTATTTTAAAACAAATAACTTCAAATAAAAAAGGAAAAACACATTTTAGTACCAAAGCAAACAATAAATCAGTAAAAGAGTAAAGAAAATGTTACCCATCTATAGCTATTACCTACTGTTATGGGTTTAACCTATTGTTAAAAGCTTGGTGGAGTCCTAATCCTCAGGACTTCAGGATGTGACCTTATTTGGAGACTTACAAAAGGAATTAAGTTAAAATGAGGTCATGCAGGGCAGCCCCTATTCTCAATGACTGGAGTCCTTAGAGAGGATAAATAGCGACAGGAAGCCAGACATACACAGGGTGAGAAGCAGAGAGACCTGAAACAGCTCCTTCCCTCAGAGCCCTCGGAAGGAGCCAACCCTGCTGGCACCTCGACCCCAGACTTCTCGCCTCTAGAACATGAAATAAGATATTTCTACTGTTGAAGCTACTCGGTTTGTGGGGCTTTGTTACAGCAGCCCCAGGAAACTAATACACCAGTGTTCACGATTAAATGGTTAAGAAAACAGATCCTGCACTTACAGTATTTTTTAGGCTTTAGCAACAGGAATACATTAAATGATTGGATTCCTTACAATTAACTGGTGCTAAAACCAAAACCATGAAACAAGTGTAAATACTTACTTCACTCCTGAGGAGCAGTTCAGCTTTGCTTCTATTCATATTTCTGCAATACCATCTGAACAGAAAAAGATACATCTAAGACCTCAGATTTCTTAAATTATTTGCTATTCTTTTTAGACTTAGCAAGGTGATATTTCTCATTTATTACAAATACAATAAATAAGAACAAGATATTACTCATAGTCTCAAAAATACAGGCAACCACTAGCAACATTTCATGTATATACTTCCAGATATTTTATACCCATATTTTTATGAAAGTGGGATCAAACTATACTTGTTATAGCATAACCTAAATTTTTCATATAACTGCCTGACTGATACCTTTGCAAAACAATATAGTTCTATGTATCATGCATGGTATGGCTGTGCCATAATTTACTTAAGCTATTCTTCCTTATTTAACATAAAAATGATTTCCAATTTTTCACTATTATAATAATAGCAAGAATAAAATTTCCTCCACAGACTCAAACGTGCAGGAATGTCACTTAACATTATTGTCTTGAATTCAATTACATCTTATCCAAAGTCCCCATCTCACCAATAATCAATAGATTTTTAAAAATATATATTTTATTGGTTTTTACAGGGAGGAAGGAAGAGAGATAAAGAGCCAGAAACATCGATGAGAGAGAGACATCGATCAGCTGCCTCCTGCACACTCCTCACTGGGGATGTGCCCGCAACCAAGGTACATGCCTTTGACCAGAATCGAACCTGGGACCCTTGAGTCTGCAGGCTGACACTCTATCTACTGAGCCAAAACTGGTCAGGGTAGTCAGTAGATTTTTATCTCAAGTCATCATGGAGGCGTCCCCATTGAATTTCAAGAAGAGTCAAAAGAAACAGAGCAAAACAGAAGAGCAGGCTTCCTGGGTCCTCCAGACTCACTGGTTCTAGCCCTGGAGGTCCCCAGAGGCTCTGCTGTAGGAATCCGCCATGGCGAGGCAGCAGAGCCCGCCCTCCGTGCCACAACCCCAAGTGCCTGCTGATCTGTGTCACTCATTAGCCCTCAGGAAATCTTCCTGAGGAAAGATGGATACTGCCATCCCCCATTTCATCCTCAGAGGCGCTCCACACTCTCTGTGCCCCACCCCAACCTCTCCATGAGATATTAGTTGACCCTTGAACACACACACACACACACACACACACACCTTCTCACCTCAGAAGTCAAAAAAGTTATTCTAGTATAACTTTTGACTGTTCCAAGATTTTACTAATAGCCCACTGTTGATCAGAAGCCTACAGAATAGTCAATTCAAATGTATTGTATACATTACATACTGTATTCATACAATAAAGTAAAAAGAGAAAAGAAAAAAAATGTTACTCAGAAAACCATAAGAAAGAGGAAATACATTTACAGTATTTAGTGTAAAAAAAAAAAAAAATCCATGTAGAAGTGGACCTGCGCAGTTCAAACCTATGTTGTTCAAGGGTCAACTGCATAAGCAAGGAGGCCAAAGAGCATGAACTCAGATTTGCTTTGGCCTTTCGTTTTAAACTTGACTTCTTTAGTTTATTTTCAATGCCCTTCAGTGGGCAAAAACCCTCTACTAAAGTCACATTTCCTGAGGTTCCAATGTTATGAAATCAGGCTGGCCCCTCTGGACATGTGAATTTTGCACCACTGGGTCGGCCTTTTATTAGAGAGCCAGCACCTGAGACAAGCAAACACAAAGGCCTTCCCAGATGGAGGAAGGTAAAAATACAAAGAACAAAATACAACACAAGATCTTTCTTGGTCTGGGTTCTTTTATGCAACTGTAGAAGCCAAACGCAAATTACAAGCTGATGACTGTTATTTCATTGGGAGCCTGAGGTGATTACCCGGGTCTCAACATTACGGGCACCGAGATCTCACCGCTGAGGACCCCCTCTATGAACTGAGCCCAAGTTCAACAAAACTGCAGTTCTGATCAATCAACTTCTGAATGCAATTAAGAAATATAATAACCGAGAAGAGAATGGATTTCCTCCCTAAAGCTTTTCCATTGATACAAGAAACATTGTCAGATGCCAAAAGCAGTCACAAAAATGAAGTAAGGAAAGGTCACTGGAGCTCTCATTATGCATTATAAAGCAGCAAAAAGATTGAAAACAAAAAAACAAAAAACAGCATCATGACCAAAAACCGGTCAGAGCCACGTGGTGGAGGTGGGGCCGTAGCTCTGCCGTATTTGGCAGGGTTCCCACGGGCACAGTGGGTCTGGGCCTCCTGAGATTTCGTGTGCTGGGCCTCTAGTTAGATATAAGACTCTCAGAGAAAGAAAGAGGTCCTTTCCTCACCCAGAGTATTCAAGCTCCCAGGAAGGGATAAAGGAAATAAGGAATAGCATTTCTGAGGGGTTATTTTTAAAAATATATATATTTTATTGATTTTTTTACAGAGAGGAAGAGAGAGGGATAGAGTTAGAAACATCGATGCGAGAGAATCATTGATCAGCTGCCTCTTGCACACCCCGTACTGGGGATGTGCCCGCAGCCAAAGTACATGCCTTTGACCGGAATCGAACCTGGGACCCTTCAGTTCGCAGGCCGATGCTCTATCCACTGAGCCAAACCGGTTTTGGCTCTGAGGGGTTATTTTTATGGCATTTGCAAATTCCCCTGAAAGTCCATGTTCCCTCCCTACGTATCAACTCAGAGTTTTAAGGATGCGACGAAGGAAGAAGAAAGGGAAGATGCGGTGAACACACAAACAGATGAATCAATTAGTGGTGAGTATTTCCTAACAATTTCTGTGGCTTCTCTCCCTCTTCTCTGATACGTATCACGAGGCAATAGTGACTCTGCTGAATCAGTCCTGTCAGGACTGATATACACACAGGGGGATAGTGCGAAGGAGCTCACGTGGTGGGAGAGAGTGCTGACACACAGATGCCAGCCCACATAAAGCTTATCCTGCCTGTCACAGAAACGCCTCTGTTAGGGGGCATTTAGCTCCACTTGGTGAAGGAACTATACTAGAAAGCAAGCCCAGGATTTGTAAATAACTTGTCATCCCATTCTTAGATATCACAGCCCCAATGTGAACGATGCTGGCAGATTGGCTAATCACTTCACAACACCCCGGACGAACAAGATGTCATAGCCATGTTTGATCCTAGTCAGACAGAACTGAGTAGGATCCCGGCCACGCTTCTTAGGCAGGGTGGGTTGGGTAAATCATAAAAAGAAAACAGGTATAAGTGAAGAAAAAATAGAAAACACTCAACGAACCAGCTAGTTCTTAATTTGCCAGTTCTTAATTTGGCCCTTGCCACCTATCCCACCAACTCAAAGTCTTATTCCAGACGTTTCCTTGCTTAAGGGCCCTTTCATTCTTGTCACCTTCTTCCTTTAACATCTTTCCATCAAGAAGATCTTAGTGACCATCACACTGAACCCACTCTCTTCCCTGCAGCTGTTCCTCTGAGCATTTCCTCCCCAAATTGTCACCGGGGTGTGGAGGACAGAACCCGGTTACTGAGAGCCCTGACTAGGATCCCGACAGGCCCAGGAGCCTCAGGCCCGCAACCCTGAGTCCAGCCCAGTGGACAGGGTGTTGCCTGGGCTGCTCCTAGGCCCAAACAAACAGCAGAACTCTTGATTGAACGGCTGCCAACAGGCGTTTACCTTGGGGACCTTTAAGAGCGGAAAGACCGCAGGAGATGAAGGGGAACTCTGGCTGTCACATTAAGAACAGGTTCTCCCTTTTCATCCGGCAGGCGTGGCACACTGCCATGTGGAATCCCTGACCTCTGGCCGAGGAGGCGCCCACGCCGAGACCTTACACAAGTTCACTTAGTCACACAGAGGAGAAGGAGAGTCCCTCAAAGGAGAGAACATTTCCATCCTAAGATAGAACCAAAAACGCATGGCACTGAATCACAAACTTCGTAAAATCCTTACTTGTAATTCCATGAGTCATAAGGGAGTTCTCACATTTTAGGGATTATCTGGTTGTCGAGTACACCCCTCTCCTCAAGGTGCCAAACCTAGCCAGCCCTTATGACTAGGTTCAGAGCCCTTCCTAATACTCCATGATGCTAGTCTTGAGTTCAAAACTTTGTGGGATGTTTTTTAAAAAAAGCATTACTAAGTTAATGTGTTGGATAAAAATACCCACCACTCCAATACCTCAACAGTCCATGTAGAGGTATTTCACAGGAGACAGTCCTTGACCCGTTAGTTCTCAGATCACTTTAAAATCAGGTCCATCTTTTAGAATCTTCCCTAATTCTAAGGATTTGGCTATATTTTTCTAAAATATTCTTTTTAATATATCTAATTGATTTTAGAGAGAGAGGAAGAGAGAGGTAGAAACATCGATGAGAGAGAAAACATTGATCGGCTGCCTCTTGCACCCATACATTGATTGGTTGCCTCTTGCACCCCTCTACTGAGGATGGAGCCCACAACCCGGGCATGTGCCCTGACCAGGAATCAAACCAGCCACTTCTTGGTGCATGAGATGATGCTCAACCAACTGAGCGACACTGGCTGGGCTCCAAAAATATTAAGAATAGAAACACTATTATTTATAATTTTCATTCCCTACTTATAAACAACCTTGAGGGATCATACCACTAAATGCTGTCACTTTTGAACCTATTGATCTTTTTTAGATCTTTAAGGTATATTCACATTCTAAAAAGTGACATGCTCAGAGGAAACAGCTTTTCATTGTTGTTCTTGTTGGTGGTGGAGTTTTTAAAGAAGTAAATGGATACATCAGTACATTTCCTTAGTATAACCACAAAAGAGTGTTTGTTATATATAAGCCTCTCATTAACACCTGGCCATGCACAGCCAGTGCATATGAATAGTGTGCCCATTGCTTTCTTTGTAAAGTAATCTGACTGCATTCACTAGGGATCTTAGCCCGTTCATAACTAACCGTTAGCCCAGTACATTGATTTTTAGAGATCTGGTTTAAGACAGTAAGCAGGAAGAGGGTTATCTCAGTTATTTTTACATATAAAGATGCCTACTCAAACATAATGCCACACAAATAAGAAAATGATTATATAAATTACTGCATATCCATATGCCACATGTCTGGCTATACCCCCCAAGACCTAGCACAGTACCTGATACATGCTAAGGTTTCAGCAAATATTTGATGAATTTATTACAAAGAAATATAATGAAGTTATAAAAGTGTTTCTGAAGAGTAATTAATGGCATGAGGAAATAGATTCATAATGTTCTATTAAGTGGAATAAACACAATATAAAACAGTTATCTACAGCATGATTCTATTTTTTTAAAAAGATTGAAGCAAAATATGCTAATGTTGACAGATCAATTCTATATTATTTATGAGTAATTTTTCTAACTTTTTAATATTTTTCAAACAATTTTAAAACAATAATCATATATTATTATACTTAGAAAAAAATAATCAAACATGTTTTTTAAAGGCCACTCTGAGAAACTATATTCTGATTTTTTGAATGCATGAACAATGACCTGCATTTCAAAATCAGTTAACGTGTGATTTGTTTAAAATAAATTTAAACAAATTTATTTGTTGGTGCATGTATAAAACCATTGCTTGTATAAAACCATTTATACACAGTACCTTCAGGTAAAGTGTATTATAGAAACTAATTCTCTCAGCATCTTTTACAACCTAGACAAGTAAGTGAAGCCTATGTTAGTACCACTTTCTAAAGATAATGAAAGATATCCATTAACCTCCAAGATTCCTTACATAATTAGAAAATGAAAACATTTTCTGGTTCTCCACATTCACAAAATAAACATTTACTTACTCATATTGATCTAAGTTGTTTGATTTCTTTCCTGTTACATAATTGCTTGGGATATATCCTTCACTCCTAGAAAGAAGAAAAATACTTTAGGTAAACTGATATTATCTTACTAAGAGGTTATTAAAAGAAAGATTATTGCCTTCTTAAAATAATGAAAGTATAATATTGCCTAAAGCTTATAAGAAAGACCAGCTGACCTTTGGTAAGTCAATATAGTGAAAGCATTTGCTGCTTTACAAAGTACTTCCTCATTTGATACTCACAATAAGTCTGAAATAGGCAGGCATTTTGTACCTACTTTCTGGTGGGGAAACCAAGGCTTAGAAAGATTAAGGGACTTTCTCAAGGTCCCAAACCAGGAAGAGGATTATCTCAGTTATTTTTACAAATAAAGATACCTACACAAAGCCAGCAACACGGCCAGCAATTGATCTCATCTCTAAACTTGTGACTAGGTTCAGGGCCCTTCCTAATATTCCATGATGCTAGCCTTGAATTCAAAATCATATATTATTATACTTAGGAAAAAACTCCTTAGGATGTTTTAAAGAAACCATTACTTCAGAAAAGTTAAAGTGTTGGATAAAAATACCCACCACTCTGATACCTCCATATAGAACATTATTTCATAGGAGTTAGTCCTTGACCTTTCACATCAATATTATCTGGAGTGCTTGTTAAGGCAAATTCTTGTGTCATACCCAAAGAGATCTGAATTGAGAAGGTCTATGTGAGGCCAAGAAATCTTTGATTTTTACCCCATATGACTCTTATACACATCACAGTTAAAGAAGAATTCATAATAGGTGGAATCTTGGTAGAAGCTAAGATTCTCCACATAAGAAGGAAGAGATATATGTATAAAATTTAAAAATTGAGTGAAAACCTTGCAATCTTCACTCTGAATTTGAACTATTATTAAAAACTCATAATATATTCATACCGAGTATGTATGTGTAGTCCTATTACATTGAGAAAGACCTAAGAGCAATGACAAATCCAGTAACAGAATCCCAACACCCCATTATTGTCTCCAGGTATCATTTCCTGCTAAAAGGAGCTAGCACATGCCTGGCTGTGCAAGTATTTTATACATACAGTCACACACATGTAGATTCTCTCCCTCTCTCTTTCTCTCCCTCCCTCTATCCCTCCCTCTCTCTCTCTCTCTCTCTCTCTCTCTCTCTCTCTCTCTCTCTCACACACACTCACATACACACACACACACACACACACACACACACACACACACACACACCCCTCAGGGTATAAAAACATAAAAATGCAGGGGTTTTTTTCAAGATCAAAATAATCCAATTAAACCTATCATGGATGAGAAAGAACAGTGTAATACATTCTAATTTCTGCAAGAAGTGGTCAATCCATTCATATTTATTGCAGAACTGATAAGAATCCATTGTGCTACTGCAAAGTAATAATGTTTAGTTTCACTTATGGCCGGCCAGCAGAACCAGTCTCCTTCCACGGGAGTTAAACGTTACCCTCTTCTCCTCAGCACTTAACCCCCACCACCCACCATGTGTCGTACTTACCCATATTTATCTCTCGCTCTCCACCAATGAACATCATTCTTCTCTAATACGATATACTCTTGGCCTCTCTCTAACCTGAGGTCATGTGCTTCTGTCGCTTGGAAATCATACATAGCTACCACTATTTCTTCGCTATTGTCTTCTTCGGGTGGAATTGGTGGGGGAGGCCTTCGCTAAGAAAAGGAGAGAACGTGTGGAAGTTTAGTTTTCCCTCTGTGAGCAGTAACACACTGAGTGATTCACACATCACCACAGAACAGAGCAGAACCCTCGAGTCTACCTCATATCATCTGGTGAACCCTCCCATAAGTCTGATGCTACTGGACCTCTCATGGGTTTCAGAATATAGGGCAGGCGCAAAAACTATCTTGAAACTTCAAAGGGCTTCTGCTCAGGGGCAGGGGCAGCGTTCCAGGGAGAAGGAAGGGTGATTTGTGAGTAGAAACCAGAAAAGCGAGACCCAACGGCCTGCAATGGGGAAACACAGCACGGAGTGGAGACTTTTATCTGGTCTCCTCCCACTCATAGGAATTTACATTTGTCTTCCTGTGTGCAAGACACACACTTAGTACACAATTCCCCCTTTTCAACTGAGGAAACAAGGGTTTAAGTAACCCACTCAAGGTCACTCCCACCAGAGTCACTTTGGATCAGGCCCTGCCTGGGTCCGGCGTACCTGTGCTTCCCACCATACCCACTCTCCAAAGGTGTGTCACTAAATCTGAGCCATAAGACTGTGCTTTTAAGACTAAAATATTTCTGTGAAGTCCCACACCTCTTACACAATTCTCTTTTTAATTATATATAATTTCAAAGAGGAAGAGGGAGAGAGAGAAACACCGATGATGTGAGAGAATCATTGACTGGCTTCCTTCTGCACACCCCCTGCCTGGGTGGGAATCAAACACTGACCTGGTTCATTGGTTGACGCTCAACCCCTGACCCACACCGGCTGGGCCTCTAATACAATTTTTGAAGCCAAAATACAGGCAAAATGCCGGATGATAGCAGGGGCCCCGATGATAATATCTGAGACAAATAATACTATTTGATACCCCCAAAATCAAATAAGCTATAGCATATCTGTTTCTGATACGATGGGGGTGGGGGTGGGGCAAACAGCATCACCTGAAGGAATATAAACTTTCTCAATAAACTGCAAGTGCTTCCGAAAGTTAAAGGCCACCTACCTTCTTTGTTTCCGGTGCTGGAGGTAGTGCTTTTCTTATACCTGGAAATGACAGCAACAAGAGTAAGGTCAAACTGCCATCTACCAATGATGGGTCATTTTAAAAAAAATATATATTTTATTGATATTTTACAGAGAGGAGGAAGGGAGAGAGATAGAGAGCTAGAAATGTCGATGAGAGAGAAACATCGACCAGCTGCCTCTTGCACATCCCCTACCAGGGATGTGCCCGCAACCAATATACATGCCCCTGACCGGAATCGAACCTGGGACCCTTTAGTTCGCAGACCGATGCTCTACCACTGAGCCAAACCGGTTTCAGCCAATGATGGATCATTTTAAGGAAAAATGAAAATGAACACATTGGCAAGAAGTCCACTCTGACTGTCTCACTGTAGTGGTTGCTCGTATTAATATTTGTAACAGGATTTTAAAGATTTTAAAATGCTGTTCAGGTTGGTTTGTATTTCTGTCTTTCTGAGCAGGTTGTAAAGGCCACAGGGAATGGGGCCTTGTTTAGTCTTTGTAAACAAGTAGGATTATATCAAACTAAAAATCTCCTATTAAGCAAAGAAATCGTCAACAAAATGAAAAGGCAGCCTAAGGAAGAGGAGAAAATATTTGCAAACCATATATCTGAAAAGGGATAAACATATAAAATATACAAGGAGCCAAAACCGGTTTGGCTCAGTGAATAGAGAGTCGGCCTGTGCACTGAAAGGTCGCGGGTTCAATTCCAGTCAAGGGCATGTACCTTGGTTGCGGGCACATCCCCAGTAAGGGGTATGCAGGAGGCAGCTGATCGATGTCTCTCTCTCATCGATGTTTCTAACTCTCTATCCCTCTCCCTTTCTCTCTGTAAAAAAATCAATAAAATATATTTTTTAAAAGAGATATATACATATATATATATAGAACTCATACAACTCAATGGCAAAAGTAACAACCATCAAAAATGGGCAAAAGAGCTGAAGACATTTTTTCCAAAGAAAACATACAAATGGCCAACAGGTTTATAAAAAAAATGCTCAACATCACTCGTCTTTAGGGAAATGCAAATCAAAACTACAACGATGTATTACCTCACATCTATTATAAAGGCTGTTATAAAAAACACCGGGGATAAATGCTGGTGAGGACATGGAGTAAAGGGAGCCCTTTTGTTGGGAATGTCAACTGGTACAGTCAGTATGGAGGTTCCTCAGGAAAATAAAAATAGTTCTACCATAGTACCCAGCAATACCACTCTGGGTATATATACAAAGGAAGTAAAATCAATACCTCAAAAAGATATTGCCCTCCCATGCTTACTGCAGCATGACTGACACTATCCCAGGTAGAGAAACAACATAAGAGTGTTGAAAATGTGACATACAGGATGTCCAAAAACACAAATATACACTTTAACACCTGGTAGCTCAACTGATGTTTCATTCTTTTCAGCCAAACTAAGTTTGAACAAAAAAATTTCACCCTAAAACGCTACTGGAAGTTCGAAAATGCAGTGGAAGTAAAAACACTGACTTTATAATGATGCAAAGTGTCCCAAATATGTCTATGCAGTTGAACACCTAGTAACTCACTTAATTTTCACTTTTTTAAGTATAGCTGATTTGAAATAATGAGTGAACCAGACTAAGCTTTGACAAAGAAAATTTATCCACTGGACTTTTTTATGGGGACACATACAAGATAAAGTTTACAGTGCAAAACTGGCAACAGTTGACGAATTGAGGGCACACAGATGCCAAACAAAATGATTCCTGATGTTTGCGATTCCACTGCTTCGCATTACTGGCAGAGCCTGGACCAGAACGGTCATTGGTTTGAGAACAGGCATTGTAGATTCTTTCAAATTTTGAAAATGAACGGTAGGTTAATAAACACTGACTTTATAATCATTCAAAGTGTGTATACATTTTTTGGGGATACTCTATAGGTGTCACCCATATGGTATCAGTTATATGTGGAATCTTAAAAAAGTCAAACATCATAGAAAACTGAGCTGGAAATAGGAAAACAGGAATGTTAGTAAAAGGGAACAACCTTTCAATTGTAAGATGAACAAGGTCTGAGGGTCTAGTGTATACCATGGTGACTATAATTGATCTTTGTAGTGTTTTAAATGAAGTTTACGAAGCGAGTACAACTTAAACATTCTCACTCATACATAGAAAAGGGTAAACACGTGAGGTGATGGATGTGTTAATGGGAGGAATCCTTTCACAACTCTTAAGTTTATCAAATCATTCTTATTCTTTAAATACATTACAATTTTATATGTCAATTATACCTCAATAAAGTTGATAAAAAGGTGATGGCAGTGCCATACTAGGCTCACATTTTTAATAGTCACTTTTAGCAGGCTTCCGCATTGTGATAAAAGGCCCCACAAGCTGATTTATATGTTTGGATTCCATGAAATGGCCTCACTGCTAACTAAATATAATTATTCTTACAAGTACACCTGCCCAATGTTTTCGCTGTGCTAGAAAGTGCGAAGGCCATACTTCACCAACCTCAAAATCAAAATATGTCACTTTCTCACTACACCAATATTATGTACACCCTGAGCACAATATAATCATAGAACAAAACGAATACTTACTACTTTCAAAAAGATTGTATTTTTCACATCCAGGTGCTAGCTTTTCAGTTTGTCTGCAACACTGATAACTCCCATCTGCCCAAAATTTAGGATGATATTTAATCATAATATTATTGTTGTTCTTTATTTCTGCAATTCATAAACACATTAAATGATTAGTGAAATAAGGCAGAGATGATAACGTCTTCTTAGTAACAGTCAATCCTTCTTAATTTCTCAGATTCCATATCTATTATGAGAACTTCCTCTAACATCATCCAGCCCAGCATTCAGAAAAATCCATGTGGCTCTCTTTTACCTCCTTTTTTGGTGAAGTCTCCTTGTTAGCAGAAGTAATCTGGGCTACACCATAATGGATAAGCAAATAAGTCAAGCCACCACCATTCTGTTTTACAGAAGAAGTTAAGGAGGGTTGTATGGGACAAATCCCTCATTTAAATACTTTTAAGCAAAGTCAATTCATCCACACCGAATGTTGACTACCTTGTGAATGTCTTAAAAAATATCAAATCATAGAAGCCAAGTGTTTTATCACTTTAAATATATCATGCACTAAATAAAAGCATACTTTTCTTAGAAACTATGTGCCACTACTATGGATGAGGACAATGGGGGGGGGGGAGACGGAGGGTGGGGTGGGAACCTGGTGGAGGGGGGAAGAAATGAGGAACCTTTGTAATAATATGAACAATAAAGATTGATTAAAAAAAAAAAAGAAAGAAAGAAACTATGTGCCACTAGAAGGAATCAGATTATTAAAAAAAAAAAAAAAAAAAAAAAAAGTTATCTTCAATAAACAGATGTATCACTTAGGTAACAATGTCCTTGGAGAAATACTTATTGTATAGTAAAAGATTATAAATGCAAGGTACACTAGCTGTGTTTCTGTTTTAGTGATAATAATGGCCTGTCCTACAATTATATACAGATTATATTCATTATAGGAGTTTTACCTTCTTTCAACTTCTTCACCCACTGGTCCCTGCTTTGTGCACTAGGTGCAAAAATGTAAAGTGTGTTAGCATCATGAACAACCTAAAATAAAAGATAAGACGGAGTCGGTGAGAAATACTCAGACACAGCACTTTGTCTAGCACAGAGCCCTTGGTACCACAGACACTGATAAATGATTCTGAAATAAGTGAATAAAAGTCAGTTACTTGGGACCCAAAGAACCTAGATTCCTGCCTCAGAAAATGCATCTGTTTCATGTCTACATCGAATAGAATACACATTTCGCAAAGGGCCGAGCTTTATAGAAGAAAAGGTTACAGAGGCCAGGATGCTTCCGTAATCCGGTTACTTCCCATGACCTAATTCACTAAAGCTCCTTAGGTAAACCCGGTGTAATAGGGATGATTCTCATCCAGTGTTTTTCTGAATACTATTTAGGTAAATGGACCACTCCTGAGGCATCACTCCTGTACTTGTAATTGCAGTAACTAACTATTAAGCACTGATTATTCTAACTCTTTGCTAAGTGCTTTACACACCTTCACTCAAGGATTCCTACCATCAAGCCATCAGTATTTTATAGATGAAGAGACTAAGGCCTACCCATGGACTCTTCACGCCTGTGTAACACCTGGAGGCACCCTTCACATAGAACGCACTGCGAGGGGTACCCAGAATGCTGTGCTTCTTAACTTACTTGTCATTATTTGGCAGGTATTCCAGAAAGCCACAATCCTGATTCCAAAGCCCAAACTTCCTACCAGTGTCTCTGTGAGAGGTAACTTCTGTCGAACAACTAAATAGTCTTATTACTCATGCTTTTAGAACCCTATATAATAAAGAGCTAATATGATAACTAGATCAAACAGCAGAACAACTGTCCGGACAACCTTCTGGAAAAAGCCAGGGCTGCGAGGGCTGAGCCCCTTGCGCGAATTTTGTGCATTGGTCTTCTAGTTAGTAATAAAATAAACCTGGGAAAGTAACCCAAGAATGTTATCTTTGGTCTTAATGTCTGTCGCAAGGCAAAAATACCTTGATTGTGTAAAAAACATATATGGACAATGGAAAAAGAAGGGGACATATGTAATATTTTTAACATAAAGATTTAAAAACCTATATAATAAAAGCCTAATATGCCAACTGTCCCCTCAATGGGGAGTTTGACCAGGGAGTGGGACCAGCCAACTAACCATGGGAAAGTGGCCCTGGCTGGCGGCAGGCAGCCACTAGGGACCCTACCTGTGCACAAATTTCATGCACTGGACCTCTAGTATCTATAATAATAAAAGCATAATATGCTAATTAGACTGGATGTCCTTCCAGACAAAGCCAGGACTGCAAGGGCTAAGGCAGCTGCCATGGATGCCTCAGGCCACAGCTGCAAGGCCTGAGTCCCTTGCACAAATTGCATGCATCAGGCCTCTAATGTGTGTATATATATATATATATATATATATATATATATATATATATATATATATGACTAGCAACCTCTCTTCACCACATCCACAGCCACTGGGTTGAGCACAAATAGCTCTTTCATTGGTAAATGGCTGTTCCTGGACATCTTCAATAGGTAATTCCCATTCATTTCTATCAAATAAACTTAGTCAAAGAGCAATGTGAGCACCATAGAACAACAGTGGTATATTTCATTCAGTGATGAATTCATCCACCTAGCATTTTGATGGGGCTACATAGATACAAAAGCGTGTCCAACAAGAACCTTATTTTCAAGACACGGATATAAATACTTTACAAGACAGAAAATGAGACATGATAGAGAGGTAAAGATAAAACACTAAGAGAGATGTGAGGATCTGTGTTGCCTCGTTTGGTCCATGATTGTCATACCTGTGATATTGTGATTTATAATAAGAAAATAAATATCTATTTGAAATTCATCATGATTCCTGGTACAGAAATCCTAAAACCCTTGGACTATCCAGCGCCTACGGTGACAAAGATGTCTTTTGTTGTGCTAATGAGGTAACTTCTGGAAAGTACCTAAGCATGAGGGCTGGTTGTCAATAGAGGCAACCTTGTGATTAAAGGGTTGGCACTTCCAGTCCCCCTACCCCACCCCACTCCAACTCCAGGGAGGGGAGAGGGACTAGAGACTGAATTCCATCAGCAATGGCCAATGATGTCATCAATCATGCTTACGCAAAGAATCCTCCATAAAAACCCTAAAAAGGAGCAGGTTCAGGGAATTTCTGGGTTCGTGAATGCGTGGAGATTTGGGGAGAGTGGAGGGCATGACACCTCCATGCCCTTTCCCCAGGCCCTGTCCTATTCATCTCTTCCATCTGGATGCTCCTGAGTTACAATCTTTCATAATAAACTTGTGATCTAGTAAGTAGAATATTTCTCTGAGTTCTCTGAGCTGCTCTATAGCAAATTACTCACACCCAAGGAGGAGCCTGAGGAAACCTCCAATCTATATAGCCAGTAGATCGGCAGCATAGGCGATACCTTGGGGTTGCAACTGGCATCTAGAGTGGGACCAGTCTTAAGGGACTGAGCCCTTTTAACCCATGGAATCGATGCTATCTTTGGTTAGATAGTGTTAGAACTGAAACGAATTGTAGGACACCTAGCAGGTGTCAGGGAATTACTTGGTGGTGTGTTAGAAAACACACAATAGGGTGGTGAAGGCCTGGGGTGGGGTGGGAACTGGCTGGTGTGGGTCAAAGAGGAAAAGGGGCGGGGGGGAACATCTGTAATACTCTCAACAATGAAGATTTTAAAAATTAAATATATATATATATATATATATATATATATATATATATATATATATATACACACACACACACACATAGAAAACACACATACACACATTGGAATTGGTACCCAGGTTCCATCAATGCAATCAACTCTGTACCTAAGAACTAGGTAAAAATGTACCATGTAGCAATCATTCTGAATTGTACAGGGATATCTGGAAAAAACTGTTAGGGCTTTGAACCTTCCAGAAACCTGGCTGTGTTGTGATAATTCATTACAATAATCCACTTTACTGAGTTTTTACATCAGGCTACATACACTGGCCCATGTAATCCATGTGGCAGCCCATGTCTCTATTAGCAAAAGGACCCTCATTTTCCAGATGAGAAAACCAAGGTAGGTGAGCTTACGTCATCTGAGTAGGATCTGTTTGACCTCCAAAGGCTCTTCTTGTTCTTGTTTGCCCCAAACACCTTCACGGGGCTCCCTGACTAGAATCTGTCTTTTCAGGGTCCAGTCTAACTTCTCAAAACTCACCTCTTGACAGTATGGTGAGCCTATAACTTTGTTAAAGGTTGTTTGAGGCTAGCCAATCAGAGGAAAACCAATCCAAACACAGAGTTCTGATAACTAAGACTAATACATTACCTAGCTAACTCGGGACATTTGTATTCCTATAGAGAAATATCTATAGACAGCACCCTCAACCCAAATGATAGCCATGGATTTGGCATCTCAGACAAGCCGGTGGGTGAGCTATCTGGGTCCAGTATCCTTCTCTCAGCAAACCCTGGAGCACACCTGGAAGCCACCTCTGTGTCACCCCCGGGGACAGCTGACTGGGGCAGAGGGCATGCAGGGAGCCACAGGCCGCTCAGTATGTGCCTCATCTTCCGGTGAGTCACCCTGCCACAGCAGACAGTGTCAGGGAGGGAAGAGCTTTGCAGACCTCGAGGCACAGAACCCAGTTCAATGAGGAAGAAATCACTACCAGCACCCACCCCCTCCTTAGCAACAATCCTCAGTAGTTACCCTCCCTCCTATTTGCTTCTTCATTCACTCATTCCTTATTCAAGAGACCTTCGCAGGCAATGACCTTCGCGGGCAATGCATCTAAGAGCTGCTAGAGAGACAGATCTGGGTTCAAAACTCAGGAAAGAAATGCTGCCTCCTAGAGAACCCCCTTGCCATCAGCAGACTCAGCTAAGGAAGCAGCTGGCTCCTTCTCCTATGTCCTCTGTTCCTTCCCGGCGAGAATATGCTGAGGCGGGAAGCAACTTTTTTTCTTTCTTAGTGTCTTTTGAAAATGTCTACTTCTACTTTTCTTTTTTTCTGGCATTGCATCTGCATGTGATACAAACTTCCACTGTGAAGATGTGAAACTAGAACCCAAACTTTAAGTTATACTTAATAAGAGAATATTTTCTACCTTTTAAATCTTGCTGGTTTAAATCACATAGTTAAAGCTCAAGTTTACCTCTTCTTTTTTAAGATGATTTTTAAATTTTTCTTGTATGTATTCATTTCAACAACTAAAAAATGGTTCTAGGTGGAATGCTTCCTGTTCTCATGCTTTCCTCATCATCCTAAACAGATCCAAAGTGTGCAGAGCAGATCTTTCTCTTGGAAAGCAAAATTCCTAATCCTGAGCCGAGAGCATGAGAGCCGTAGCTCCCCACACCCACCTGCCACCCCGCAAATGCAAAGCAGCCATCAGAAGTGTGATAGGAGTGGTTCTCTGCTAAACTTCCAATCACACACACACACACACACACACACACACACACACACACACACAGTTATACATGCGCTTAACTTACTTAATCAAGAACAAGATTTCAATTGGGCTTACTTCTAGATCTGAGGTAGATGTAGTGTTAACAGTAGCAGTAAGAGAAATAATAATAACAACAATAATAATAACTTACAGTAGTTAGTTAGTTAGTAACAAAGAAAGGGAGCAAATGAAATCAGACATTAAGCCTGATTAGCTAGGAAGGACAGTTTCACCCACTCCCCAAGGGACAGCCGCTTCCTCCACAAATGGGACTTCATCCCCAGGCAGACAGGAAGAACTGCTTCCGGGGGACAGCCTGCCTGTGCGCTGGGGGTGGGATGGGGGCAGGCTGACACAGAGGGGAAATGCCTCTGCTGAGGCCTGCAACAGAAGCCAGAGACAAGCGGGAGTATATGCAGAGGGAGCCCAATGGCAACACAAGGGGGAGGAGTCCAGCCTGGGGAAATCAGGGAAAGGATAGGATAAAGGCAAAGAACGCAGGAAAATCCAGGAAAGGGATTGGGTGAGGGAGGGCCAGCACAAGCCAGAGAAGAATTAGGGAGGAGGCTGGACAGTTTGAAAGAAAGCCTGCTTGTTACCGAAACCAAGACAATGTATGGAGGGTAAGTAAGGGTCCTGGGGCAGCTGCTGCCCACCACTACGTCCCCGAGGGAATATTTCTTTTCACCCCGATAAAACTTGCCACTACACTTCTTCTACACGTGTGCCCTCGCAACACCGCAAGGACCCGTTTTCTCTAGCAAAACAACAAAACACTTAATAACTTGCTTTCACTGTGTATCTAAACTATTATACACCGAGTGGCCAGATTATTATGATCTCTGAATGCATAATCATCTGGCCACTCAGTGTATATCACCTTAGTTAATCCTCACACCAACTAGGAAGAGAATGCTAGTATTATCATTATTCTCATTTTCCAGAAGGGGAAAGAGACACAAAAGCAGTTAAAGTTGCACAAGGTCACAGAGCTCATGGGCGGCGAATCGGGTGGTATGGCCTCTGATTTGCCTCTCTATGCACCACACTGTCCCTCCTCTTCAAGCAAAGGAATGACAGATCTAAAGTGAGTGACTGGGAAAAGGGAAATTAATTGTAGTCCCTCCTCCTCGTGTGTTATTCTCACCAGAGTGAAAATAAGCCAGATGCCGCTTTAAAGCTTGAATATCTTCCTCTCCCCAACAGGTAAACGTTCATTTCAAATGTAAACTGGTAACTTCACAGTAGCCATGAAAAACACCCACGCTCTCCACTGTGCTACTATATTGAAATCACTTTTGCAACTTTTCCCCTCAGCACGCAGTGAGACCAGAGCCCTGGGCACAGGCGACTTCACTGGAGATGCTCATTGCCCAGAGGAAAGCATAAGAATGTCCTCGGCCAGGGGAGGGGTGGGTGGGAGCTGGAGAGAGGTCCTGCCTGTCTGCTTTCAGGTCTGAATGCCAGGGCCCACCTCTGCACGCCGGTTCCCAGGGCGTGAGTGCACCGTGAGGGGCAGGGGTGACCTGGACGCTCAGGATGCCCCACGGATCCTCCTGGGAGTGACAACACATGTGTTTTGTAGGGAGGTGTTTTCATTCATAAAAGGAACGTGGAGAGATGTTGAACATCTGTGAACCTCAGTTTCCTGTCATAAGTGAGAATAGTGTATTTACCTCCCTTATATATGAGTAGGAGAATCATTACAAAGGAAAACGTGAAAAAACACAGCCTTTTTGGAAGGCACGCTTTCAGGGACAGGCAATGCTAATACACTTTGCATCACAGGCAGCCTTTGAATCTCATTTTTGTTCCAGGGGCTCCCACCTGCCCCTCCTCCGCTTCTTAAATTCACAGAAAACACCTCACCCCACCTTTTCGCGTCTCAGTCTCCACTCCCTTTCCTAACTGCTCTATGACCAATCTGGATAATAAGCAGCACGTTAGGTCTGGGGCTTAGAAACTCGGGGCATTGGTAGAATCTAACAGACCAAAAACAAGAATAAGAAAATGTTCCAGCCTGGCAGGTATGGCTCAGTGGTTGAGCATTGACCTATGAACCAAGGGGTCACGGTTCGATTCCAGTCAGGACACATGCCTGGGTTCGGGGCTCAATCCCCAGGTGGGGCATGCAGGAGACAGCCAATCAATGATTCCTCTCATCATTGATGTTTTTATTTCTCGCTCCCTCTCTCTTCCTCTCTGAAATCAATAAAATATTCCTTTAATGTTTCAATCAAGACTTAAAACGTTTATGAAAAAAAAAAAAAATACAATTACTATCCAACTACAAACTAAACTAAAAATCAACTACCATATGATTCAGCAAGCCTACTTCTGGGTATTTATCTGAAGGAAATAAAAATCTGGATCTTGATGCTACCTCTGCACTGCCGTGGTCACTGTAGCATCGTTGGCAATAGCCGACATATGCAAACCACCTAGATATCCAGACAGATGAACGGACAAGAAAAGGTGTTGTGTCTATATACCATGGCATATTGTTCAGCTTTAAGAAAAGAAGGAACTCCTATTATTCTTAAGTGGATAAACCTGGAGGACATTATACTAACTCAGGTAAGCCAGACACAGAAAGATAAACACTGAATGACCCCATTTATGTGGAATTCGAGTCACAATCACAGAAGCAGAGAATAGAACAGTGGAAGTCGGGGGCTGGGAGATGGGAAAATGGGGAAATGTAGGTCAAAGGGTCCTGGGGTAGGCAGTTAGACAGACATGAGCAGAGGAAAGACAATGGGCCAGGTACATATGAAAGCTCCCCGGGTGCCTAGCAACAGACAAAACTGCAAAAAACAAGTGCCTGCCGCAAGGGTAACCTTTCCTCCCCTAACAGACCCCAGGTCATGCAGTTTAACCCCTGACCTCCCATAGTGCTGGCCAGGCAGTTCGGGATCGTCCCCTGACCCCTCCCCTTGGCCTGTTGCTAGTCCATATGGCAGATGCCCTGGGGGGAATGGATAAAGGGGCCAGAGAACAGCCCTTCGGCACTAAGGCCCCAAGACAGGAGGTTCTGACCCACGTCAGATACATCTAGGCCTCGGTGGTGTTTCAGCTCCAGGCCCAGAAAAGCAGCAAACCCAGACAAGGGATGCCACGGATGACATCAGAGCCGGGTGCAATGACCAATGACCCTGGTCCCAACCAATCAGCGGAGACCACGACCCTGAAAGGACACACCTGACTATTCTACGGCAGCAGTCACCCACCTTTCAGACCGGCGGTTGGTGTGGAATCCTCCCCTGGCCTCTGATAATTTTATCCTTAAGACAGAGGATCCAGCCGAAACTGGTTTGGTCAGTGGATAGAGCATTGGCCTGTGGACTCAAGGGTCCCAGGCTCGGTTCCAGTCAAGGGCATGTACATTGGTTGCAGGCACATCCCCGGTGGGGGGGGAGGGGTGTGCAGGAGGCAACTGGTCAATGTTTCTCTCTCATTGATGTTTCTAGCTCTCTATCCCTCTCCCTTCCTCTCGTAAAAAAAAAAAAAAAAAAAAAAAAAAATCAATATATTAAAAAAAAGACATAGGACCCAGTATGGCTCCCACTAGGTAGCATGCCCACATCCTTATTTTGAGTTTCCCTTCTCTCTCTCTCTCTCTTTCTCTCTCTCTCTCTCTCTCTCTCCTCCTTCCTTCCTTCTCCCGTAAGCTCTAAGGGCCCCTTCTTTTGCCTCTGTACCTTGTTTCCTGAGCCCATTTCTTCTGTGACTCCCTTCTACGCCTGTGACTTTCTAAATAAACTTTGCTTTATAGGCTGAGTCTTGACTCTGAATTCTTTCTTAGCCAGAACTCAAGTACAGAGGTTGCTGAAGCCAGGTCTGGTCTGACTCTACAGGTCTCAGCCCGGGTGCCGTTATCGCCGCCAACAGTACCGAGTGTCTCGGTTACGCAAGACAAAGAGTCCTGGAGATCTAATGCACAGCCTGGTGGCCACAGCTCTCCATACCGTACTGGATACTTGAACTCTGCTAAGAAGGGAGCTCTCGCCAAAACCGGTTTGGCTCAGTGGATAGAGCGTCGGTCTGCGGACTGAAGGGTCCCAGGTTCGATTCCGGTCAGGGGCATGTACATTGGTTGCGGGCACATCCCCGGTTAGGGTTGTGCAGGAGGCAGCTGGTCGATGTGTCTCCCTCATTGATGTTTCTAGCTCTCTATCCCTCTCTCTTTCTCTCTGTGAAAAATCAATAAAATAACAAAATTTATTAAAAAAAAAAAAAAAAAAAAAGAAGGGAGCTCTCACGTGTTCTCACCACCCAGAAAAGAACGAAAATGGAATGTGAGGTGATGGATGTGTCAATTACTTGGCTGTGGTGATCATTTCACAGGGTATAGACATATATCAAAACATCAGGATTTTACACCTTAAATATATACCATGCTGATGTGTCAGTTATACCTCAATAAAGCTGAACTTTTTAAAAATCAACCACTAAAGCAATGACAGGAAATGGTAATGTCAAACAGTATGACGAAAAGCCCAGAATTACACTGCCACAGAACATGCCGGCTCACCTGAAATGGATATTTATTCTGACAGGGAATGACACCGTCATCATTCTTCACTACTTCCACACACTTTATTTTTGAAACATCAATAAATCCCTTTCTGTATTTTTTCTGTGGAAAGAAAGAAAAAATAAAGAACTATTACAATCATCAGATATAAGAAAATGTGATTCATGGTAGCATGTGCTAATGAAATCACCGACTCAATATATTATAATTTTTAAAAATTATTCAAAACACTAACACTGTGAGGACTATCATCAAACTAATTAAATCCTTTAAATTTTAAAGATGAAATGGTTCTGTCCTTGTCCCCCCAAAACCTCTGGAACAGAACAACGGACTCCTTCTCATGGTTGCCTTCCCGTCTCAGACACGTATCTTAACTTCTTCAACTTCTTTTTTTTATTATTCTTTATCGTTGAAAGTTTTATATATGTCTCCTTTTTCTCCCATCGACCTCTCCCTACCCACTCCCGCACTCCTTCTTCAACTTTCTGATGAGAGCCCCCAAAAGATAGCATCAATGACAGAACCAAACGCTAGCCAGGTGCCTCTCCCCTCCAGCACACCGAGCCAGGAGGGCACAGGGTGGCCTCGGCGCGTCCATGTGAAGCCTCCGCTCAGACTCGGACTGAAGGCTCCACTTTCTCCCCTATCATCCCCTCCTCCCACCCCCCCCAATCCCCTGTACCCCTCACTGCAAATCTCACTGCAGCAAACACCTGATGGCATAGTAAGACACCCCTCTCCCCAAAAATCACTCATACCAATAGAGATTTCTCACATGAGTAAGCTCAGATTTGAGAATTTATCCTAGGAAAAAACCCAAATGAGTACAAAGTAGTATGTGCAAAGATAACTTGACATATTGTATCCATTAAAAATATTGCAAATACAACGTAGAAATAAAGAATGTTCGCTGAATAATATTAACTGATACATGCCACAGATAAAGCTATATAAAGACTAAGGCTACTTAAGGGATGGGATTGGGGGGGAGGGGGTGTAGATACACAGAATAGAAGAAGAAATAGACAAATGAAGAAGTGTAATATTGGCAGGGGGATCTCAGCCATTCCCTGGCCCCAGCCATTCAAAATTGTTTCATCTAATACTTGGAAATGCCCCTCTGGCCCCAATCTGTGGGCCCCCTGCCCGCTCCCAGGAACCTGCTCAGCACCCTCACTGTCACCAAAGGACTTTCAGACCTGCCAACTGTCCCAGCCACCAGCTCCCATCGGACTAGATTGCTCTGGGGGTCATTTCACCAGTACTTCCCCCTGTCTTGCCCTCCCTCCCGCTTCTTCTTCTGACTCCCTCCCCTCCTCCCCTCCTCTGACCTCCTTCCCCTTACCCCCCCTACCCCCGCCTCACTAACCCCACACACATCCCTTGACATTTTTGCAGCCCCTATTCCTGCCTTTCCCTGTTCCCGCATGCCGGGCTGCAGAAGGTCAAAAGACAACACTGTCTCCTTGACGCTTAGCCAGACCTCCACGGCTTCCTCTCAGTTCTTCTGCGCATCTCCAGCAGAGAGACCTGGTCCTCCATGGAACCACAGGTCTCATCGGAACACAAACCCTTCCCATCCCCCTGCTCGCAGGGGACAACTGCCCAGGACTTTATGGAGAAGAGAGCCTCCATCCCACAGGCACGTCCCCAACCTCCTGCCCTGCAGGTCAGCCGCATTTTAAGGTTTCCCTTTCCTCTTTCATCCTGTGTCTAAGAGAAGATTGATAGGATACAACAGTTAAGATGCTGTAGGTGGTACTTCGCAGAAGACGTTTCACTTTAGTGCACACAAATCCCCCTCCTCTCACAGATGAGGGACCTGCCGCTCAGACTATGGACTCACATTGCCCAGCTGACCCCAGCCTCACCCAGACCCTGGGAGGCCCAGCTGCAAGCAGGTGACAGGATTGGTGGAGACACGTCCCCAAGGGGGCAGCAAGGCTTCTGGGCACGGACTGAGCCGTCATCAGGAGAGGGAGAGGGACACTCTCCTCCCCAGCCATGCTCTTCCAACCGTGTCCTTCTCCTGCCAGAGCCCTCTTCTCTCCCAGCCACACCGAGGGCCCTTCTTCGGCCCCGCCACGGCCGAACGCTTCTCTTCCCTTCCTGCAAAGACATGTGCTCACACCCTCAGCCTTTCATTTCCTTCCCGCCCACTCCTCCTTCACCACGTGCTACCTGCCTCCCCCACCTACCCCCACCCCGTCACCACAGCCGGCTAAAGCCGTTCTCAACATCACGTGAACAAACCCAACCTCGGTGGTCATCAGCTCACACCTTCCTGAGACATCTGAGCGTGCCGACACTCCTCACCTCAGTGGCCTTGACGTGGAGGCCTCTGTTTTCCCTTCTCGCCCTCCCCCCAGCCTCCACAGGGACACACCAAGTCCAGATCGGGGAAGCACATGTCTTAAGCGGAGAGTCCAACTTTTGTGTCGTGTGCTCCTCAGAGCCACTCTGGGGGGTCAGCGATACCAGACGCCTTTCACAGAGAGAACACACTAAAATTCCGCAACTGCCCCATCTCTACCTCTGAGACAAAAAAAACACACAGTATTTATTAAAAGTAGATTTACAGTCGTGAGCATGCGAAACATGGAGTTTATCCTTGTATTATTATTGTGTTATTTTCCACCCAAACAACTGTAAACCTATTTTTGCCTGAGCCTGTAAAATACAGTGAGCACTGTACATTAGAAAGATGCTAAGAGAATACAGAGGAGCTGTGGCTAAAATGACAATTTAGGCAGAGAAATTCTGATGTATGATGGGGGTGGGCGGGAATGAACAGCACACATGGAAAAAAAAAACATACTTCAGAATGACCTCAGTTGCCTGGTCTGTAAAATGGAAATTATAATAGTATCTACCTCATCGATACTGTTGCAGAGCTCTGAGAGTTAAGTGAGTTCTTGCGAAGTGCTTAAAAGAGTGTCTGACCTGTAGTACGGTATCTGTAAGTGTTTGCTACATAAAATAAGTAGCAAAAACAACAACAGCCGAAACTGATTTGGCTCAATGGATAGAGTGCCGGCTTGGGGACTGAAGGGTCCCGGGTTCGATTCCGGTCAAGGGCATGCACTTTGGTTGTGGGCATATCCCTCTCTCTCTCCCTTCCTTTCTGTAAAAAATCAATAAAATAAAAAAATAAAGAATTAAAAAATGCTTTGACAGCTGATGCACAGGTACATGCAGCAGGATGGGGAGGTGCTCGATCGGGGTCAGCTCATAAGGAACCCGCAGCCCCGTGCTGAGAGGTCTGGGCCACCCCACCCCGTCCCTGGGGCCGGCACCTGTCAGTGGGCAGAAGGAAGTGCCAGAGCCCCACCCTCCTGTGAACGCGTCACACTTCACTGCAGAAGCCTCAGAAAACACCAACAGCAACAGAGGGGCAAGCGACCCTTCACCCCAACCCCGGAGGACATCACTGCTGGCATCACCGACTTTTCCAGACTTTGCTCTGGGATCCTGGACCTCCCGCCAGCTCTCGCAGCCCTGGAGCCTCGGGCTATGTACGCTCGCTCTGCTTCCATGACACCCATCTCCACCCATCTCCACCCACCGCCTGCCCCCGAGACTAAAGGCAGCTGTTAGATGCAGGTCCATCGATACAGAAAAGGGGTGACTTTTACAGTGAGTTTACTTACACCCCCTAAGTCCATGTTCTGTGATATAGAATTATGTTGCTGTACTAGTATTTGGGCTTATGGATGCAAATACCTTGCTATGAAGGTGGAGGATAAACGTTCAAATTCAGGTTGCTCCTTCCTGATGTTGTCCATCCCACCAGCAAGCACTGATGAGACACCCAGCACCGCGGCTTCCCAGTTCTGGAAGGGATGAGGGTCTCCTCTGGAGCGGTTCACAGAGCATGGTGGATGGGGAAATGGGGGGATGATCCGGCATGGAGGAATGACGAAGCCAGGGAGCACGTGGCGGGCTGGGGAGGGGCAGCGGCTGGGCCAGGAGAGGCTGGAGACGTTTTGGGGAGGAAGTGATATTGGGATTTGGTTTTTAAAGGATCAGTAGGACAGTTTCCTGTGGAGAACGTGAAGAAGAGTTCCAAGCCGAGAGGGGGGGGAGCATTGATTTAGAGAACAGAAAGAAATTCATTATGACTGAGGTTCAGAGTGGTGCAGGGGAACTGCAGGAAATGACACCAAAAAGGCTGAGACCGCCCTAACCTGTTTGGCTCAGTGGATAGAGCGGCAGCCTACAGACTCAAGGGTCCCAGCTTCGATTCCGGTCAAGATCATTCATGTACGTTGGTTGCGGGCACATCCTCAGTAGAGAGTGTGCAGGAGGCAGCTGGTCCATGTTTCTCTCTCAGTGATGTTTCTAGCTTTCTATCCCTCTCCCTTTCTCTCTGTAAAAAAAATCAATAAAATATATATTTTTAAAAAAAAAATAAAAAGGCTGAGACCAAGTTAGAAAAATGCTTATATGCCAGACTAAGGAGTTTGGTTTATTCTTAGTGGATCTAAGCGGGGAGTGAGGAGTGCTGAACTGAGGTTTGTTTTCAAAAAGATATTAATGGCCGTGTGAGGGGCAGGTGAAGACAGGTGGCCAGCTGGGAGACTGCTACAGGAGTCCAGGTGAGGACCCGGCTGGCCCGGCTCAATGGTTGAAGTTCATCCTATGAACCAGGAGGTCACGGTTCGATTCCCAGTCGGTGTACATGACCAGGCTGTGGGCTCAATCCCCAGTGTGGGGCGTGCAGGAGGCAGTTGATCAATGATTCCTCCTCATTGGTGATTGTTCCTATCTCTCTCTCCTTCCTTCCTCTCTGAAATCAATTTTAAAAAAATTTTTAAGAGTTCAGGTAAGGGATAGTGAGGTTGTGAGCCCGATAAGTAGGGTGGGAGAAGCAGGGATGCCAGAGTATTGGGAGGCAGAGTCCACGTGACTTTGTGGTCAGTTAGAGCTGGGGATTCAGAGGAGAGAAGCAGGTAGGGAGCCTCAGGGACTTTGAGTTTGGCGCCGCGGACAGATACCGTGACCCACAAAAGGACTCCTGAGGGAGGATCAGGTTTGAAGGCGAGGCTGGGAATGCTGGTGGAGCTGACGATTGGACAGCCAGGCGGATACGTTTGCAG